TATTTGAATCTACGGACTCTATTATTTATTTAATTGTCTATTAATTAAATAATAGATCTGCCATTTAATTGCATTAATTATATATAAAAGTATTTATGTCCAAAGTCGATTGGACCTAGGGCATAATACTTACAGCGTGCTGCTTGATGTACCGTGGCGATGTAGTTCCCAAGGACGTGAATGACACCGTTGCCACGATCAAGACTAAGCAGACCATCCAGTTCGTAGACTGGTGCCCTACTGGTTTCAAGCATGGTATAAACTACCAGCCGCCCACTGTTGTCCCCTGTGGCGATCTTGTTAGGGTACAGAGAGCCGTCTGCATGATTTCCAACTCGACCAGTGTGGCCGAGGTGTTTTCACGCATTGACATTAAGTTTGATCTCATGTATGCGAAGAGGGCCTTTGTTCACTGGTACGTGGGTGAGGGAATGGAGGCAGGTGAATTCTCTGAAGCTCGAGAAGACCTTGCTTCTCTAGAGAAGGATAACGAAGAGGTTGGCGCTGAGGGAACTGAAGATGATGGTGACTCCGGGAACGAATACTAATTTGTTTTACCCATCTTTTCTTTCCGTGAGATTTGTGTGTTATCTATGTTAAATGTGAGTGTGTTTATGGCATTATTTTAGTACTGGAAGAGGGCCTTTGTTCACTGGTACGTGGGTGAGGGAATGGAGGCAGGTGAATTCTCTGAAGCTCGAGAAGACCTTGCTTCTCTAGAGAAGGATAACGAAGAGGTTGGCGCTGAGGGAACTGAAGATGATGGTGACTCCGGGAACGAATACTAATTTGTTTTACCCATCTTTTCTTTCCGTGAGATTTGTGTGTTATCTATGTTAAATGTGAGTGTGTTTATGGCATTATTTTAGTACTGGTATGTTCCTCTCCTTGTTTGACAAAAACTGTTCGTCTCTTTGAATCGCTTATGTTTCCTCGCCTGGAGAAAAGTAATGCAGAATGTTATGAATATTGAGTTACTAGAAAAAGTGGAGAAGGCAAAAACATAAATATTTTACTTGTTGAAGAGACTGGCATTGACGAGGAGCTATTTGATATATATTCTCTTCAAGCAGAGGGTGTGGATCAATGTAAGGAGGTGGAGAAATCAGAGTTTTAGTGCACAAAATCTGATCCAAAATACTGCACAGGAAAAAGGATGGCAGTTAATAAAAACCAGTATTAAGTCTAAGAGGCTGCAGAATAAATAAAACACAAAAATGCAAAATCAATAAGAAGAGACAATTCCAGCTGGTGATTATCAGAACATAGACAGGAAATTGTTAAAAAACATTGCGCCATATGGAAGGCATATGCTAGGCAAATTCAAGTAAAATCTCTAATGTCCCTTGTATACATTAGGCAATATGACTTGCCTAGGAAATAAAAACAAATAGAAAAGTAGCCATTTCGGACATCGACCAGGTAATATGCAACGATGATGTTCAGATGTCAAAATAGAAATTTAAGCACGTGACAAGCATTAAGAATTAATCCATGGAGGCTCCAAAAGATCCTTTAAATTCTGAACCTTTCAATAATAAAACTAGTAAACGCCCGATACCTGTACTTTATAATCTTCAGGTGTTATTTTAAATATAATCATGGGAAAGAGAAATATGACAACATAGATCTTAGATGCCGATGAAACATTATCGGAAGAGGATAAAAAGACTGGAAAACCACAATTTCATTTTGAGAATGACATTCAGACATAAAAAAATAAGGCATAGCAACATTAAAAATCGGGTAAATGAGATTGCCAAATGCAAGGCAGAAAAGAATGTAATGTGTTGACCTCAAAAAACGTGCCAACAGAATCCTGACCTCGTCCCCTCCAAACCTGCGCATGGAACACCTCGTTAGAATGCAAAGGCCATTGGTCGAAAAAAATGTCCAACGACCATTTGCACTCCGACGATCAAGTTAACGGCCGGACGAAAAGAAGATAAAGAGTGCCGAGACGGGAGGGGGTTTGGTTTCGGGTTTTAGAACGCACCTTATGTTGTGAAGTGAACCCATATATATAGAAATGGAAGTGAGCCAAATAGGTTAAAGAAATGGGCCAAGTCCAATGAGGCCGAATATGAAATATGTATAACAATAGTCCCTCAAGTCTGAGTCGTATTGTTTATATGCGGGTCGGACTTCGAAATATAAGCTGTCATGCAGACGAGGTCTTACAGATTGCCTCAGAAATATGGGTAGATCCAATAAGCTAGGAATTACGAACTGCCTCAAAAATGTGTACGAGTCAGAATAAGCGAGGACTTACAGATTGCCTCGATACTACAAATATTTTGTTGAAATTTCGGCTAACCAACCTATAATACAATACAATATATCCACAGCGCATATACCAAATAAATTTAGGGTCCATTTGCTTCTTCAAATGCTCATAATTATAAAGTAAATAATGACATCATATTTCTCCAAGATATGTGCAGAAGGTCTACCATATATTACAGTAAATCATACGCTTGCACAGCTTAGTGTATCAGTAGTGCTATAGTGAAGCAAGTAACATGATGTCGACAATAAAATAAAAATGATGATAACATGACATACGTACTGACTATGATGAAAATAATGTATGACATGCTAGCAGTGATATAATGTGTACGCTAGCAGTAATATGCAGTAATTCTAAGATACTAGAATCACAATATAGTCCCTCAAGTCTGAGTCATATTATTTATATGCTGGTCGGACTTTGAAATATATTGAATATATAAGCCGCTATGATAAGTTGATGTAAAGACGATGCTCTGAATGCAGAGGCAAGCCTGATGTATGAGGCGATGCTGTGTAGAGTGGTGAGCCTGTTGAACGAGGCGATACCGTGTAGAGAGGCGAGCTTGTTGGATGAGGCGATGCCCTGTAGAGAGATGAGCCTGTAAGATGAGGCGATGCCGTAAAGAGAGGCGAGCTTGTTGGACGAGGCGATGCCGCATAGAGAGGCGAGCCTGTTGGACGAGCCAATGCCGTAAAGAGAGGCGAGCTTGTTGGACGAGGTGATGCTGTGTAGAGAGGCGAGCCTATTGGATGAGGCGATGCCGTATAGAGGAGCGAGGTGTAGAAAGACAAGCCTGTTGTTAGAGAGGCAATGCCATGTAGAGAGGCGAGCCTGTTGGATAAGGCGATGCCATGAAGACAGGCGAGCTTGTTGAATGAGGCGATGCTGTGAGAGAGGCGAGCCTACTGCACTCAGAAGAAGCCATGATGGGGTTTCATAGAGGCGAGCCTATTGAATAAGATGATGTTGTGAAGAGATGCTCCAAAGAGAGGAGGCTTATGGGCTCACCATAGAACAGATTAACTTAAGTAATTTGCAGTATATGAACTCGTTATATAAATAATAATTAGAGGAGAACTATGGGCTCGCCATAGACAAATTACTTAACCAACTCGCAGTATATGAGCTTATCAAGTGAAATCTCTTATGTCCCTTATATACATTAGGTAATATGACTTGGCTGGGAAATAAAAACAAATAGAAAAGTAGCCATTTCAGACATTGACCAGGTAATGTGCAACGACGATGTTCAGATGTCAAAATAGAAATTTAAGCATGTGACAAGCATTAAGAATTAATCCATGGAGGCTCCAAAAGATCCTTTAAATTCTGAACCTTTCAATAATAAAACTTGTAAATGCACGATACGTGTACTTTATAATCTTCAGGTGTTTTTTTAAATATAATCATGGAAAAGAGAAATATGACAAAGCTGCATATTAGATGCCGATCAACAGGTGTAGGGGAACAAATTCATGATTATACTACATTGAGGATCAATGAGATCTATCACTTACGAGTTTCAGGTCTGTACCAGCATGCATAGACAGTTAAATGAAAAATTATATCAAGAATCCAAAGTTATGATAAATCTTAAGTGAAACGAACACTGCATAACAGGCTTTCAGCTTCAAAATTCTTCATTTCTTTTACCTTGAAGTACAATCCCATTTTCAAATAAACCAAGATATAGCCATAAAACATTATCAGAAGAGATTAAAAAGACTGAGAAACCACAGTTTCTTTTGAGAATGACATTCAGACATAAAAAAAATAAGACATAGCAACATTAAAAATCGAGTAAATGAGATCGCCAGATACAGGGCAGAAAAGAATGCAATGGTTACAGGAATCAATGGCCAAAACCCCAGAAAGAAAGTTCTTCCAAGGGTAAGTAAAATTTTAGCCCGTGAAATCAAACATTGACATTAAGCACAAGTTTACATGGAAACAATTTTAGAAGTAAACAAAACCAGTACTTATATTGTCCCGTGAATCAAATGAGTGCTAATAAGACTTCGAGCCCGGGTTTTTCACTTGATCTCTGTGTTTTCTTGCCTAACTTAAAACATATTAGTAAAAACTTGTGGATCTGGTACTACTGTTGTAACATAGTTGTCCACTCTCATGTGATACTAGCTGACCTTAGCACCCTGCAAAATAAAAAGTTAAAAACAAAAACGATACCCAGAAACGCACAAAATGCAGAAATAAGTAAAAGAAGAAAGTTAAGTACTGCATTTCAAAAGGAAGCGACCATAATTTCAGAGTTACCAAACTTGGAGAAAAAAAGAAGCGAGACAGAGAGTGAAACTACATGAAACACCATAGCTTACTTCGAAGAAAATCTTCGAATTATTAAAGTTGATGAAATGAAAACGAAAAGGAAGATTTCCCTACCTCAAGGCCTGCACTATTCAGTGCCACAGATGTTTCCCTTTGATTAGATAGATCCCTTTCATAATCAGTCATTACTCCATTTCTTCTCGAGGAACCTCAACCCCCGTCTTCTTCTCTAAATTTTCACATCTCTCTCCCTAAATGTTCCCGTTTTTCTTCTAAAGCAACAAAGCAGGGGTCATCCTTCGTCTCCTTAGTTCCTTCATAAACAAAGACTCAGCAGGTTCTTCACCTGAAATAATATATTAGGGCACTTTGACACATTAATTTGATTTGTAGACCAATTTGATTAGTCACGTTAGCTCGAAGCAATTTACATAAAACTAAGATGCAGTTAGTCCGGCTGGAAATCGAGAAAATCTTGAATGAACTTACATTATGCAAAGAGTTCACTTGAGCAATTAACTTAAAACTCAGATGCAGCTGGAAGTTGAAAAAATCATTAGAATATAAGAAAAACATATCACAATTCCTTGATGGCAAAATTTTGGTTTCGTGCGCAAGGTAAACTGAATTAGACGAATATAGTTGAGGATCTGCACAGAACAACTATGCAATTACGGTGTTCCTTTCCCATTTCATGGACAAGATCAATAGAGTCTCAACCGGCAATATAATTAACTACAAAATAGACTATAATAAGTTCCAAGATTGGGCTGTTAGATTTAACGCCAATTATAGTGTTACAGAGCTCGACTCAGAACGTCGTAAGAAGAGAAGAGTTTCAACCTACTAATTTAACCATTAAAATATAATAATTAATAAAGTAAATCTGCATTCCAACTTACCGTTACTTCAATTTTATGTTTCTCGTATTTTGAAGGAAACCGATAACCTCCCATTATTAAGTACAATTCTGAAACTTTGAAGCCTGATATTCCTTTTCACAGATGCCTTGGCGATGAATTTCGAGCAGAAACAGCTCAATTTCTCGCACAAATCGACGGGCTGGATTTCGATAGCTGAAGAGAAGTCATTACAATTTTTTCATATTTTACCCTTTTTGTAATAATTCCCTGCTTTTGGATTAGCTCCAAATCTAATGATTGAAAATGGATGAATTTTCGCGCTAATGTGGGACCAAAAGAATTTCTAACAAAACCAAACCAGATCAAAGCAAACTGAACATTTCTGCAAACAAAAAATTAAAAAATAAAAATAATAATAATAAAAATAAAAAATTAATGGTTCTACTTCTGGCTCGGTTCTAGTACTAAAACCAAGAACCAAACAAAGAACGAAATTCAACTTTAAAATTTTATTATATATATTTACTTGACAATTAGTGAATCATAATTCACAACAAAAAATTCAAGATTCAATTGAAAATCAAGACAAAAAGGTCATGCACTTTCGGTTTCTCATTTCTCATTGTGGAGATTGGAAACCCAAATACATTTTGGAGATTCAGACCCTAATTTATTTTTCATTATCTCCTTTTTCATTTATACACCGACTCTCACGTGGATATCAACGATGCGTCCTGTCATCTATCGTCACGCTCAGCCACCAACGCTCATGTATTTTTCTGAAATTGAATCCTCAACCTTCAATTCTTCTTCCTCAAATGTTTTCTCTCTCTCTCTCGACCAAAAGAATTTCTAACAAAACCAAACCAGATCAAAGCAAACTGAACATTTCTGCAAACAAAAAATTAAAAAATAAAAATAAAAAATTAATGGTTCTACTTCTGGCTCGGTTCTAGTACTAAAACCAAGAACCAAACAAAGAACGAAATTCAATTTTAAAATTTTATTATATATATTTACTTGACAATTAGTGAATCATAATTCACAACAAAAAATTCAAGATTCAATTGAAAATCAAGACAAAAAGGTCATGCACTTTCGGTTTCTCATTTCTCATTGTGGAGATTGGAAACCCAAATACATTTTGGAGATTCAGACCCTAATTTATTTTTCATTATCTCCTTTTTCATTTATACACCGATTCTCACGTGGATATCAACGATGCGTCCTGTCATCTATCGTCACGCTCAGCCACCAACGCTCATGTATTTTTCTGAAATTGAATCCTCAACCTTCAATTCTTCTTCCTCAAATGTTTTCTCTCTCTCTCTCTCTCTCTCTCTCTCTCTCTTTTTGTTTTTGTTTTTTTTCCCCATTAGTAAAGTAACTAGAATAGAACCAAACCAAACCAAATCAAAATCAAATGGTTCGGTTTCAGCTTGGTTCCATATCTTTAAAAAAAAAAAAATTTGGTTTCCTTATAAAAAAGTCATTGGTAAATGCTTCGATTTTTTTCTCATTGTGGAGATTGGAAACCCAAATACATTTTGGAGATTCAGACCCTAATTTATTTTTCATTATCTCCTTTTTCATTTATACACCGATTCTCACGTGGATATCAACGATGCGTCCTGTCATCTATCGTCACGCTCAGCCACCAACGCTCATGTATTTTTCTGAAATTGAATCCTCAACCTTCAATTCTTCTTCCTCAAATGTTTTTTCTCTCTCTCTCTCTCTCTTTTTGTTTTTGTTTTTTTTCCCCATTAGTAAAGTAACTAGAATAGAACCAAACCAAACCAAATCAAAATCAAATGGTTCGGTTTCAGCTTGGTTCCATATCTTTAAAAAAAAAAAAATTTGGTTTCCTTATAAAAAAGTCATTGGTAAATGCTTCGATTTAGTTCTCTTATAATTAAAATCAAATGGAACCGTGTCCACCCCTAATTACTTTGTTTGGTGTCACTTACGTGGCATACGCAAGGTCGGTCCTAGCGTAGGTGATCGTATAAGGTCACGCTTACCTCAAATTATGTAAGATTAATTAAATGGTTGAAGAAAAATGAAAATTATAATTACAAAATTCTTTAAATTAAAATTATTATATGCAAACACAAGGAACTAACAAAATTTGAAAATACAAATATTAAAAAAAAAAAAAAAACACATATAAATGACATAAAGCTTATCTCAAACATATATATCACAACCATTACTTTCTCAGTGTATAATTAATTTGACCCATTATCTTCCTTAAATTAATGCTTCTCCATGTGTTATGTAATCTGGTTTGGGAATTTTTCAATTAATTTATTATTCTTTTTTCCCTTTTCTATGTTTATACTGGAGTTTAAATTTTCACTCTAATTGTTTTGTTTATAATCTCAATAAAAATATTGCAGATGATTTTGTCTATAATCTGAAACAACTTGAGTTGAAATCACCTCATAAAAAGAACAGAATGCAGTGCACAAGGCAGAATTCTACGAGTTTTGAAGCATTTCTATGAACAGTTAGCAGCCTCTGAAACTAATAAATTTGGGTAGAATATCTTGGAAAATGCTAGATGAACGTGATGAGCTACAAAAGGAGCTACATAATGGACACTTGGCAGACACCTCGGCCAATGCCCAGGTGCCGCGTGTCCATTATGTAGCTCCCGATATAGCCCATTATGTTCATGTAGCAAAGTCCAAATATCTTTTACCTTCCGACCTTACGCTTATGTATGTTCAATACCTTAGAATTAAAAAACCCGCAAATCTATAATCAAATATGAAAACAAATGTCATATCAAAAAATTCTATAAGAATAAATTTAATTTATACGTTTGCAAATTTTAAATTATTATTTTTGATACTCTGAATATTTTTATTTAATAATAATAATTATAATATATCTAATCTATCCACATAGGAGCTCCATATTTAAAGTTTGCATAAGCCACCCAAGATGTTAGGATCGACCTGGGCGTACGATAGAACTGCCGATTGCATTAGGTGAGCCATGGACGTGAATGTAGGGACTTGATGAGGTGGCACTATCCAAACCAAAGGCTGAATAGACTTTTTTTTTTTTTTTTTTTAATACACAAAAAAATTCAATTCAATCTATTCAACATTTTATCTTTGAAAAAAAAAATATTTGCTACATTTTTTGTAAGTTTTACCATGCAAAACACCATGCCGCCTAGCCGTCAGCCGCCCCCACCGATCACCCTTTACCATAATCAATTACCTGACCCAGAAACAATCTCATTTTCATCACCATTGCCCACACCAATCTCTATTACTTACACCATCATCGAAGTCGATCTGCACAGCCGCCACCACCACCTCAAACCCATGATATTACCACCACCATCAGCGCCATCTACCCTGACGGGAAGGTTATGATCACCTCGTCTCACCACCTCAAAACAACCCACCACCTATATCAACACCCTCACCGCACCACAACCACGACAAATTTACCATTCTTTTTCCTTAAAAATTCTACCTTTTCTGTCACTCATCTCACCACCACCATCCGAACAATCCCGATTAAGTAATTCAGATCTTCAGTTCAGATTTGACAACCCTCGGCAACCTGTCCTGTTCATTTATCTCAAAACATTTTTCTTTTGATGAACGAAGTGAGAATAACTTCTTTGTTCGTTTAGATCTTCTGTCTCGGCACCTATAGGATCGCATGAATTGCAAAAAAAAAGAAAAAAGAAAAAAGGAACAAATCAAATCAACCATAGATATGAAATGCACAATTTGAATTTGAAATATCATTAAAATGACAAACAGATCTCTATTTATGTACATTATATACATATTATAAAAGACTACAACAAATCCCAACCAGACCTGTTCATATTTCACAATGTTTCAGCAGTAACATATGCTATCTATATATAATCAACTCGACTCCATCAAAGAGCCAACATAACTCATAAATGCCATGGGAGGTAATCCAGGAACAACTCTGTGCTCGGAGGAGTTTATAAGCACTTGTATATTACAAGGATAACATAGAGAAGAAAAATAAATCACCAGGGTACCCTGAAGGCTTGGGGCTGTACACGGTCGGTGAGATCTCCAATTTACCAGAAAGGACACCATCTGAAACAAGAGGAGCAGGTAGGTAGATTAGATACAAGTAAAACAATATGGATGATAAGAAAAAAAAGTTTTTTTCAGACATGTAACTGCAAATTTAAGCTTAGTCAAACATGTTCTTTCTTATTCCACAATTTCCGGATCAAATAGTATTTTGGCATACAGAAGTTCAGATAACTTTGACAAATTGCAAGTGTTTTGTCAATTCTCTCATTCAAAAGCAGTTTATGAAAAGTTCAAAATAAACAATTCCTTAAAGAACAGAATTAGAGAGATGAGAAATCATACCCAACATAATTTTGGCACAAATTTTCATGTGACGTTGCTTGGAGAATTAGCTTCTGCACTTGTAATTTGACAGATAAACCATGGTCAGCTTCACGAGTATCACCGGAAATAAGGGTACTATGGTCAAGCGAATGTTGAATAGAAGTAGATGGCAACGAAGAACATGGAGAGAAATCACGCCCAGTTAGTTTGTTGCTCATCCGTGCCATAACCACCACAGCTCGTTCATTCAAAACCTCATTAGCATCGCCTAGTTGATTCACAGCCTACAATAAGATCATCGAACCCATAAGCCCCGGTAGTACTGTTTGGAGGGTTTTCTCCTTATTTTGTTTGATAGATAATCAGGCTAGTTGATTAGTAAGACAAATCAATCAGTACCTGGAGGAGTTCTCTTTCCCGAGCACCTCGTGGTGGTTGAAGCAGCTCTCCATTTGGGGCTGATTCCTCACTATTCACAACAGGTGGCACATGCGTGCTTGCAAGAGTAGACATTTGAGGGACTTCATTGAAGTTGAAAAGACGCCAATTTATTAGGGGATCGTGCACGAACGCCTGGTAAAAAAAAAAAAAAGGTCAATTATAAAATTGATGAATAGATGTAAAATTTTCATTGCTCCATCGGACTCAAAAATTTGACTTTGATTTGTAAAGAAGTCATAAAAAGCTTCTCTATGGTGCTAACCAGAAGAAAAAGAAAGGGATAAGGTAATTAAAACGGAGTTTTCTCTTTGAACAAACCCAATTCCCATCACAATGACCACCAACCTAATCCAAAAATTACTACCACCAAAGCAGCTAATTATTACTACATAAAGCCGAACACAATTCAGCAATATCATCAACCACCTCAACTATAACAATCCATGCAACCTTCATCGCCATTCTATCCAGCACTACCATAAAAACTCAACCATCAAAGCCATCAATGACATCGTCTTTTACCAACCTATTCTCAGCAAGCACGTAGGCATAAATCCACCTGCTTCTGGAACAATATACCAATATCATTATTAATAATCAGGAACACATCATACTTAAATGCAAGCTCACTATTTTTTTTCCCTTGCCAGTCGCAGGAAAAGCAAGGACAGTGAGTATTATTCAAATTCCTCAAAGTTCAGAGAGGAGAGAGGTGCTGGTGACATCCAGCAATGGAGATGGTGTTGGTGATGTCTTCCAGTGGTGTGAGGATGAAACTAGGAGCCATGTATTTAAATAGTTACTTAGGGGTTTGATCACAAATCATAACTGTTCGCACTTTTACAAAACATTTGATATGAGACGGGAGTAATGAATAAGAACCTGATCTCAAAAGAAAAGAGAAAAGTGCAGAACAAAAGAGCAGAAATAACTACAGTAAATAAAACACAGAACTGAACACAGTTATTCCCTATCACACCATAACTACAATAAATATTTTGAACGTCCTAATATACCAATAGTGTACTAAACCTGTCAAACCAGGACATTCCAAAGGTAAGTAGAGCAGATTCAGACTGTACCTCCATCATAGCCATAACACTGTCTTTATTTGTACGCAGAACATGCATGACATTTTCACAAGTTGAGCGAAAATTTCCTTCAATACCACTGACCTCCATAGCTTTAACAAGCATTCTAGTAAGCCGAAAAGGGACCTATATCAAACCATTTTTACTTTGTTAAAAGTGAATAAGAATTAATTTTGTCTAAAACATATGAAAGGTGGAAGATTGTTCCAAAAAAATTACTTATATAAGGATAAAGTACCTTTTCAGGGAATTTCTCCCGGTTCATTGATGCTTCAAAGCAATCTCCGAAGTCAATATGCAAAATCTTCCCACTGATAAACATCATATGTAAGAAAAAACTTATAACCTTAGTAATCACCAATTGTATATTTGGTCACGAAAGTACCTGGATCGATGAAGCATGAGGTTACTTGGATGTCGATCACCCAAGCCAAGCAAGTAACCAACCTAAGACAAGTGAAGCCAATATTTCAGAAAAATTTTCCACTGAGAAGTCAGAAAAGATGTGTGAATATGTGGGCTATAATGTCTACACCCAGCTACACGTGCATATTATGAGCATAATGATGATCATTGAGATATATGACTAGAATACATTAGGAGATTGATAGGTCACCCATCAGATTTAAGCATGCAAGATGCAGCTCAGCCAGCAGTATAAATTTCAGGGATTTATTTCGCATACAAACTTGTTAAAATTCGTTACAGTGAGAGGTAAACAGGGATTCCTCCAGAATAGTTGGGGGCACCAAAATAAAATGGGGAAATGGGTTGTAGTCTCTTATTTTTTCATCTGTGAAGTGTGAGGTGTCAACAATTCTTTTTAATTTTATGCATTTTTATATTGAAGAGACTCATAGGTATCAACGTCATAACGGTCTTGTAAACAGAGATGTCACTAATGCCAGCGTGCCACAACCAGAGACGTAAACTTATTTTGTGAGCAAAATACTATTGTCAGCATGCAGAAAACTGGCTCACCCCGAAAGGGATATATTAGTGCTTGCTTGGGTTTTATTATAAGCTGAAATTATTATGTGATAGAATGAGAGGTGGATAAGTGGGTGCCAACTCCGACAAAGTGTATGGTTAAAATTAAAGTTTGACTGTGACCAAATTATAATGTAAGACAAACAAGCACTTAGAATAGGGAAGCGTGTTTGGTGCAATGGTGTAAAAAAATGAAAATTATAAAGTGCAATTGCTGAGACTGCACCAAATGAAAGAAGAAACATTACCATACTCATGACAGCCAAACTTCTTGTGTAGTTGGTCCTCCTGTCCAGCCAAACCTCTGAAGTACGACTTTTTAACCAGAGAACCTATTGAGGATTCCACAAAGCAATTTCAGAAAAAAACCAGTAAACATATTACTGCGCACATATATACAGGCATCAAACAATGCCTACCCTTGAAAGGTCATTGCCTTCTGTATTTTGTAGAGCATACTCAAACACTTCCACCTTTGCTATAAGAGGTAAATGATCGTAATCCGGAGCAAAACTAAGCATTAGCTTATGCTCTTGGTTTAGAGTGAACTATTAATACCGAAAACAAGCAGACATAGTCAGGATATGGATCTGCCTAATAAAAACAGACAAAATACCTAGATGGGAGGCATCAAACGAACCTTTTTAGCATCCCTGTACTCTTTGATGAGATGGTGCAAGGTGTCACAATTTGGAACCCATCCTATCAGTCCACTGTTTGGAGACAGTGGAATGACGGAATATCTTTGAATAGAAAGATCTTTTTCTGAAGTTTTCCGAGAGTTCTCTAGCAGAGTATTAACCAAACCGAACAGCTGGCAAAGAATTGAACTTCAAACCTCATTTAAAAGAAGCCGATAAATGATGAGAAAGAAAATGGAATCATTATGACAGTTTTGACCCAAGATCGCACAAGCATTTTTTGCATAATGCTATAACAGAACTGCATCACCATCCAAAATGAACAATAGTACAGTTAGATAGGAAATATAACCTGCATGACACGTTCATCCTGTCGTAGATCTTCATGCCCCTTCAGCAAGAAAGTATACTCTTCTCCATCACTCCCAAGAATTGTCAACTTACGAGGTCGTTGTTTCGATGTGATGACAGAAAGCTGGGGCACAAATGATGCAATTTTCACCACTGGTGAATCTGGGGAAACAAATATATCTGTCATGAGTGATGTTCAATTCAGATGTTATGTTTCCTTAAATATTTCCAATCACTACTGCGACTATACCTGCTATATAGGTTCCAGGAACGGCCAGTTCCAAATCCTGGCACTCCAGAAGTTCTGGAGAAACAGACTGTTTTTTACAGAAATATATAATTAATATCTCAACAATAACATATACCAATAACTACAAAACTTTTTTCTTACCTGCAAATCCAGGGTGGTGAGAGTTTGAAGCTGCTTATCAATCCGCCTGAATACATGGTAATAGAGATCCCAAGCCTGATAAGAAAATTTTGTCAATTCATCGAAAGGCGTTGAGCCGTGCTCTGTGAGCCAAAACCACTGAATGCAATATAAAAGTATGCGCACTAAAAACATTTCTTTACAGACGGTTGAATACCCTATGACGATGAAAACACCCCAACGCTAAGTCCATGCATACTAGTTCAAATGTTGTAGATAATTAATTTAATGAAATCTTTCCTCAAATATATAATGTTGAATCAAAACCTAACCATCTTTCACTAATGATCACAAAAACGACGAGCATATGATGAGCAACTGATTTATTTTATTATTTTTTATCACGGGCATGACAGCTGTTTAAGAAAAAGAGAATAACATTATTATTGAACTGCAAGTGAGCCGAGTTTGTACGCTAAAAGTGTAGTGTAGTGCACATCATTCTACTTTTGAGTAAATAGGCCCTCAAACTTCTATCTTTCTAGCAATAATGTCCATCTGGACACTTTCGTCCAAAAAAGGTATCCAATTCAGTGAAAACACAGTTTTTACCTCATGTTCAACTAAATGGAAAATAAATATGAACAAATAAAAGAACACTCCCCCCCCCCCCCCCCCCCCCCCACCACAAAAAAAAAAAAAAAAAAAAAAAACACTTCATAGTGATGCTCGCCCCAGACTTGATATGATTATCTGAAGCTCAATTTTATGTTTCTCGTCAACTCCTGAAGGTGGACAAGAAAAAAAACCAATTCCTACATGTGGACACGCGTCTTTCTTTGAATCTGTCCATTCCCTTTTTCTACTGGTCTTTACAATTATCTCTAAAACCAATGTGAAGACAATCAAATATTGGTACGTATATTATTGATTATGGCAGTCAAAAGTGTTGATGCAAGATATTATTAGACACTGTAGAGTGCTACATTTTGGAATCTCCAAGCTGCAAATGCAATGAAAATAATGTGAAGATCACGTCGAGGGTTCTGAGAATAATAAGGATTAGCAATATCTTGGCGTGGATGAAAAAAAATAAAGAAATTCCCCCCAAAAAAAAATTTACTATAATTCTTTCTTCTTACTAATCAGTTTCATCTTAAAAACCGAAACATCTCGAGACACTTGCAATCTAGCTAAACAAATCAAAGTGCATATCAGAATTTCTTCACGCAAATACCTGATTAATTTCCGCATCTTTTCCAGTTCTTCTATAATTCATGCAGCATTCATAGGCCTCCAACAATTCATGGCGGTAAGCCTGAAGCATGTGAGGGTTCTTAATAAATATTGTACCATAATTAACATGCATCAAATGGAGATTATGAAGAATATTTCTCAGCTTAATTCATAGAAATCAAGTCATATTTCTCAATTGATGTGTACAGATTCCTATAAAGCAATTGACACTCATGAGAACAAAGTAGCCATGGTTAAATATTGTCCTCTACACTTTGATCATAATAGATATGATATATGTCCAAGAATGTGGAAACAATGGACAACCTGAATGAAGGCTTTCTCTTTTATGGTAGTATTGTTCCTCATTGCTCCTTCCTCGAGCATTTCATGCAATGGCTCCAAAACCTTGAGCATTCCCTCAATGTTATGTTCCCCGAAGTATAAGCGGCTTGCCTCTTCCAATGCTTCGTGCCACATCTCATGCCATTTTACAAGTGACTAAAAGTATCTTGCAAGCTCAAAGAAAGTTAGACGAATGGAAGATTAACTAAGGCTTCGTTCTTCAAGATCTTCAAGAATTACTTCAAAACTCTCTAATTACAGTAAAAAGCTTGATGATCTCAAATAATTATTTAACTCTCTCAGATCAAGAGACTGAATGCATTAAAGTAAAACATTTTCCACCATACGATGATATAACCATAGCTTTACCATTCTCTTATTAAATTCTTTGAAAGTGAAATATTAGCCATTGCAAATCACATTACGTTCTCTATTGCATGAATGAATTCAGAAAAATTACATCTCCAACTCGAAAAGCATATTGACGGCTAGTGTATAACCAAGTATGAAGAAAATCTAATATTGGATCTCTTCTCCACAGAGATTTTAACAACGTAAAGATTCTATCATCATGGACAAGTTTAATTTATATAATCAAGATTGTTGAAAAATGGTAGGTTATCCATTCAATTCCAATTCAACAGTGGTTATTATTCCTCCAATGCTCTACACTTCAGAGATGTATTTTTACATCAACAACAGTATAATTAGCATGTTCTACAATTCCTAAGGTCCAAATGTAATGGAAATGAAATTAAAACCAATGTTTTAACTGGTCTGGAAATCGATCTGAAAAGATAAGAGGGTCAAGGGACAAAAGATTCAGCAAGCGAACCGGGGTGGAGCCAATGGTCTTAAATTATTATACAAGTAATGTTTTAAAGAGTGTAAACTTCAAAATTTATACTAATTTTTGGATATATTAATTTTTAATAGTTTTATTCATTCTTGAGAAATTAATCAAATTATAAGAAGGGGCAAACATTTTGATGGAGTATTTCCCTTTCACTCCCCCTCATTGCAGTGCAACTGTACAACAGCCAATATGTATGATTGCACTTGTTCCACATCAAAATTTATCAATTGCAATAGGAGAAGGAAAGGCTATAAATAGAGCTGCCCTAGTGAGTGCAATTAATTAGCAGGCAGGCAGTCATTGCATGCATGTGAATTTATTTTTTCATTATATCGACCCTTAAAAACAAGGAGAACCATGACCAGTTCATTTTAAAGGCATTTTTTAAATTGTGGACCCGTCTTTGGAACTGGTAACCGGCAGGCCACTCCAGTTTTCAACAACATTGATTAAAACTTTCTCATACTTCTTGTTTCAGGAGACTGTCCTATAAGAGCGCGTTCGGCTAAGCATTAAAGTCAATTTCTGTTACCAAACGCATTTGAAATGTTACTTTTCCCTTTCTTATGAGTAAAACAATTACTTATTTTGACAATCAAGAAGGTATTAGTTTTTAAGTAACCTATTTTCAACTCTGACCATTGAAAGAATTATTTGTCTTAAAAAATTTAATTACAAGTAGGTTTATAAATAATTTTTTTAAACTTAAACAAACATGCAACAAGTTTCTCATTAATCAGAGGAATCTAGGTGCATGATACAACAGTACAACACATAAACAAACCTGCGGATGACTTTGGCCAATCCGTACTAACAGTGACTGTATTAGTTCCCTGACAGCGTGGTTATTGGAATGTATCCTCGCAATTATCTGAGGTAAAACAACCAACCACGTGTTGATATTAACCAGCGAAAATCCTTTCTGCAATGCCATTTGGACCTCTGAAGTAGCTCCGTGGTTGAACCACAAAGTGAGGAGACGTAAAATATCCTGCAATCCAGATGTAGGATAAAATAAGAAAGAAAAAATAAAATAGTCAAGTTTCTGAGATGGTAAAAGGTAGCACCTATAGAAATAAATTCGAAATAATATTGATAAAATCATTTAACATTATAAAATTTATAGATAATAGTAATGCTTGAACTCCTAAAGACAAAATCCAACAAGAGCAGGCAAAGAATGACAACAAATGCAGTTACCTTGAAAAAGTGACTGTTGTTAAAAAGGAACGTTGCTTTAGACAGCAAAATTAATTGACCCCAAGTTCATATTGGATATTTTTATGTGAGCTCAATAGTAGTGGAAGATTAGAACCATTCAATTGAAGTAGTAACTTTTCAAGTAGCAGCTGACTACGCTTATGGAGGACAGGATTTTAAGCTTCAAAGAGTTACCTGCAAACTATCATCCACTCCCTTGGCATGTGCAGCACAAGCTATGGAGTGAAAATATCCAGTGACTGCCGCAACGACAAACTGTCCAGCAACATTGGGTAAACCTCTCAGTGTGTAATGAGACATTACTGCTGTGTTGAAAAGGGCCCATCTATGCCAAGCTTTTGCCCACTTTGTTGCACAATGAGTAGCACTTCTGAACGCATTAGGTGGGTTGTTGAGTGGAGTTCGACTGATCACCTTGAATAGAATCGTCATTCAAACCTGAAGAAAGTGCCCACTGCCAATTTCCTAGTTTAAGATACACACGGGCAAGGAGAGGTACATTTGAACTACCCAATAAGCTAGACTGTGAAGCTTGTCGAAGAACTGGAGTTCTTGAGAGGTCTTTGGTCAAATCCTACAACAGAGAAATTACAGAGATTATTGGAACCCAAACTGAGCAGCTATCCTAAGCATTTACCACTTAAATAAACTTAAAGCTCACCTGCAGTCGAGTGAAGGATTCCTTACGCCTATGATCCTCTCCAAGTGACCATTGGTATTTCAAATAAGCAAGAATTACTTGAGGATCTCCGTGATAACGTACAGTTTCAGGAGTTATTTCAGGATCGAACTGCAATTGTTAAAAAGAAAAGTTAAACCATTAAATGGCATAAAATGTCCACAAAATTCCACTAATATGCATCTCTGACCTCCAAAAGCTGAAGTAAGGTTGATCTAGCTTGACTAAGTCTTCCACTTTTACGGCACAGAGAGGCAAACTTGATCCATGTCTCCGCATCCTGTGTGGGTGGTAGAACAAGAGACCTGACTGCCAAAAGCGCTTGCCAGACCTGTAAATATTAAGATTTCAAGCACTCAACAGTAGAATGAGGAAAATATAGTACCCTGTTACAAAGGAAAACAAGATGTAGGCAATAGTGTGAAATCTTGTTTGACAATAGAAATCAATATCCACTCCACATTAATAGCTGACTGCCATTATAACATCAAATTGACTGATTTTAAAAAGAAAATAGATGAGAACAAAAACCAGCAGAGAGAGATTACCTCAACATTCCTCTTTGTTCCTTTTATTCGTTCATTCCACATGTTTCGAATAAGAGCCTTCCGGTCCTCAGCAATAGGGTTCCCCACAGGAAGAGTACAGTAATCGATGACCTATTCGAAAAAGCAGCAGACATTTCTCAATAGGATGATATCATTTCAAAATGTAAAGAGTAAGTCCAGTTAAAACAGCAAAATAACGTAAAATGATATGTGGGTCCATACCTCCTCCAATTCAGATAGTTGCTGAACACGAACCATATTACTGTATGCACGTTCATAACTTTCAAGAACCTAGTAAGTGGTAACTTTTAGACATCAGTTTTCAAAAAGAACCAAGATATAAAAATACAATAGTTTTGACAATTTAAACATGTCAGTTTCAATGTTTGCTGATATGCCTAATAGTTCTTGTAAATTATTAGTTACATCACTATTAAAAGTCAACCAAATACAGTGTAATTTAACATGTGATGCAGTTAGCAACCAGAACACTGTTAGCAAGAATTTTAGAGCTTCTAGTTCCATTGGGTTAGTTAAAATAGGGGAAGGTTATTACGGGGAATTTAGTATAACGAATTGTATAGGCTTCTAGCTATAAATAGTGGGAGGGTAATTTCATTTCATTCAGACAGAATTTGGGTCTTGTCTTGAGAGAGAAGCAGGGCTTCTCGAATGCTCTGTAATTTATTGAATTTCCTTTTTCCTGTTTGTTCCATGCAGTACAAATATAGATCTATTTCAGCAACAAAGCAGCAGGATCCTATCAGAAATTTTCTGGACAAGGAGAAAACTATTATTCAATTAATTCTACTACAGATATTTAAACCAAATTTAATGAAATAAATAAATAAAACGAAATTCCATGCATAATGCCCAAAAGCATGGAAAAACACAAGGGTATGATTGCATCTCACAATTAAAAGGCCAGTCATATTAATAAACAGGTCTATTATTCTTTTTTGATAAGTGATCAAATATTTTATTAATCAAAAGGTAATACACAAGAAGTGTATTATACGCTTAAAAAAGAAATAAACGTCATGAAATTGGGCAGCACATCAATGTGACTAGAAGCTGCAGCATTAAATTAATTATACAATGTCATATAAAATAATTCTCTACATGCTCTAAAGTCTATATCTGATAATCAAAACAGCGCCCGTTTCTTTCTCTCCACACGCACCAAACAATGCAACCTGGAATAAGGTCCCAAACAAATTTGCTGTCCTTGTCACAAAACTTTTTCCTCCATTCCTTCAACATATTTTCCATACACCTTGGCATAACCTAATCTATATGTTGAGAAGTCAGAATATCATTCCATAACAAACGAGCACCATCACAATGGAGAAACAAATGGTCAATCGTTTCTACATCCTTTCTGCACATATGACACCAATCTGTAATATGAACCCCCCTCAATCGAAGATTATCCGTCGTTAAAACTTGTTCTCTCACTACCGTCCATAGTAAAAACGCCACCCTTGGAGGCAATTTACACTTCCAAACCATCTTCCAAGTGAATGAATTCTCCGCAGATCCCAATAAAGATCTAAAATAAGTGCTAACTGAGAAAATGTCATCCCTTGCCAGCATCCACCTGATGCGATCACTCTCTCCTACCCTGATATGCACTTCATACAAAGAGGTCAATAGCAACGTATAATTATCCACTTTCCAATCTTGCAATCCCCTCCCAAAAACAATGCTCCAGCTGATGCTCCCGTTATGTGTATCTAATACATCATTCACCATAGCAGATGGCACCACAGCAATATGATACAAAGAAGGAAATCTCTCCCTTAGCGGTTGATCAGTACACCAACAATCATCCTAAAATAGCTGATAGTATTACCATTCCCCACATCAAAGGTCACTCTATTCCGAAAGTCACTCCACCGTCGTAGGTACCATGATTCTCAATTGAACACCATCCACCCTCCAAAATACCATATTTCTCTTCTATAATTTCTCTCCAGAAACTCTCCCTCTCCACCCCAAATTGCCATAACCACTTACCCAACACGGCCTGGGAATGAATTCTCCGCAGATCCCAATAAGGATCTAAAATAAGTGCAATATGAGAAAATGCCAACCCTTGCCAGCATCCACCTGATGCGATTACTTTCTCCTACCCTGATATGCACTTCATACAGAGGGGTCAATAGCAACATATAATCATCCACTTCCCAATCTTGTAATCCCCTCCCAAAAACAATGCTCCAGCTGATGCTCCCGTTATGTGTATCTAATACATCATTCACTATAGCAGATGGCATCACGGCAATACGATACAAAGAAGGAAATCTCTTCCTTAGCGATTGATCAGTACACCAACAATCATCCTAAAAATAGCTGATAGTATTATCATTTCCCACACCAAAGGTCACTCTATTCTGAAAGTCACTCCACCGTCGTAGGTACTATGATTCTCAACTGAGCACCATCCACCCTCCAAAATACCATATTTCTCTTCTATAATTTCTCTCCAGAAACTCTCCCTCTCCACCCTAAATCGCCATAACCACTTACCCAACAAGGCCTTATTAAACAATATAAGGCTCATCAATCCGAGCCCCCCAACCCTTGTGGGAGAACAAACTGCTCCCCAATTGACCAAATGAAATTTCCTCTCCTATCCTCTCCTAACCCTCCCCAAAGGAACTCCCTTTGGATCCTCTCTAGTCTCTTAGCCACTATAACAGGAATGGGAAACAAAGACAAGAAATAAGTGGTAAGATTCAAGAGAGTAGACTTGATAAGAGTAAGGCGACTTCCCTTTAAGAGGTACATATACTTAAAACCCGCTAATCTCCTTTCCACCCTTTCTACTATACTGTCCCAGATGTGTTTACTTTTGAACCTTGCTCCTAGTGGGAGTCCAAGATATTTCATAGACGACTACGCAACCCTACAGCCCAATGTAGCAGCCAACCCTTCCACGTTATCGACCTCTCCGACAGTGATAGCCTCAGATTTCCCCAAGTTTATCTTCATTCCAGATATGGCTTCGAAGCACAAAAGTAAATGACGCAAGTTCTTGAAGTGCTGAATGTCCGCATCACAAAAGATCAAAGTATCATCTGCAAATAGCAAATGAGATATCTGCCGTTGACCAATCCTAAAGCCCTTTAACAAACTCTCTCCCACAGCCTTCTCAACCATTTTACTGAATGCCTCCATTACAATAACAAACAGTAATGGAGACAAAGGATCCCCTTGTCGCAAACCTCTACTACTCCGGAAATGACCTTCAAGAGTGCCGTTCACCAAAACTGAAAAAGAGACAGTAGAGATACAAAATTGAATCCATTGGCACCACTTGGCCCCAAAACCACATCGCCTGAGCATATACAATAGGAAACCCCAGTTCACGTGATTATAGACCTTTTGTATATCAAGCTTACATAGCATTCCTAGAGCCATTTGACGTAGTCTTGAATCAATGCATTCATTTGCTATGAGTACGGAATCCAAGATCTGTGGCTCTTTGACAAAAGCATTCTGAAATTTAGATACCACTTTTTCCAACACCTCCTTTAATCTATTAGCTAAGACCTTTGCAATAATATTATACACCCCACTTACTAGACTGATAGGTTGAAAGTCTTTAATGTCCGTCGCTCTTGATTTTTTTGGGATCAGCACAATAAATGTGGTATTAGAGCTTTTCAAGAATCTATCACACTGAAAAAAGTAAGCAAAAACATCCACAATGTCCGATCGTATCACATCCCAACAAGCCTTATAGAATGCAAAAGAAAATCTGTCCGGTCCTGGGCCCTTGTTATCATTCATACTGAACACCACCTCCTTAATCTCGTCCTCCCCAAATAATCTTTCTAAACAACTGATATCCTCCTCAGAAATAGTGACTAGCCCTTTAAACTCTGGCCTCCAATCAAACTACTCCTTATAAAGATTTTGACAGAAATTCACCATTTGTGTACCAATATTCTGTGGGTCCTCATAAATTACCCTATCCACCTCCAGCATAGAGATACGATTGTTGGGCCTGTTGGAATTGGCCACCCCATGAAAAAACTGTGTACATTTATCTCCCTCTCTCAACCACTTGACCCTAAATTTCTAGGGCTAAGAAATCTCCTCCATCTCCACCAACCTCTCGAACTCTCCCCTTAATTCTTGACGTCGCTCCCTTTTGTCACCTCCCAATCCTCTACTTTCCTCCTTCCTATCCAATACTTCTATTTCTGAGATGCATTGATTTTTACGCCAGTTAACATCCCCCACTTCCTCCTCATTCCACCTCTTGAAGTCTCATTTTAAAGCCTTTAATTTCTGATCCAACACATATCTGGGGGACCCCCTAAACTTGTAAGAGGCCCACCAAGTCCGTACTCGCTCTCTAAAGCCGTCCACTTTAAGCCACATCTTTTCAAACCTAAAAGGTTTTCTCCCGCTATACCCCACATCCCCATATAATGAAATTGGAAAATGATGTGAATACACCCTCCCTAGTCTCCTCTGAGCGACGTCTGGGTACTTAGCCTCCCACTCTACACTAATCAAGAACCGATCGATTCTAGAATGAACAGGTAGCTCCCAATTAGATGACCAAGTAAAATCTCCCTCCATGAAAGGCATATCCACCAACATATTCTCCCTGATAAAATTTGAGAAGTCCTCTATAGCCCCTGTTAGTCTCCCGCCGCTAGACCTTTCAGTAGGAAAGTGGACCACATTGAAGTCACCCCCTATGCACGTTGGGAGTTCCACCAAGCCATCATACCTGCCAATTCATCCCACAATCCGCCTCTACTTTCATCAACATTAAGCCCATAAACTCCTATAAACATCCAATGAAATCTATCCCCAATATTTGTAAATGAAAGGGATAGAGAAATAGCCCCTCACTAACCTCCTCCAACTGAAAGACTCTAGCATTCCACATAATTAGCACCACTCCTGAAGCCCCCAATGACCCCACAAACTGATACCCGACATACAGTCCCCCCCTCATAAACTACTTACAACAGCCCTCGAAACGGTTTCCAACTTTGTCTCCTATAAGCAAACAATGTCAGCCTTCCAACCCTTTAAGAGATTTCGAACACCTAACCTTTTTCCAGCTTCATTAAGCCCCTCCACATTCCAGCTAACTATTTTTGGGATCATCTTGACGCACCGTCATCCCTCCCCATCAATCCTCTTCTTGACTCACCACCCCTCATGTCATAATTAACCGAGCATTCAAGCCGTTTAAGCTCACGATCACCCTTTCTTCTTGTCTTACCTCCTGGTGTATCCATCACTTGTCCCTTACTCGCCTCCAGTTCCTCAAATAATTGCAAGAGCTTATGTTCATACCCATCACAGGACACCCCCACCATCTTGCTGAATTCCAAAATTTTTTGAAGAGCCCGCTCGATGGTGATGGTCTAATGTCAAGCTCACTCATTTCCACTATCTCCTCGGAGCAAAATAATAGAATCCTACAATAATTTCACTTCACCAAGTGCAATAATTAATGGATTGAAAAGTGAGAACAGAACTCAAACGTGATTGTAATATTCCACTACTGAATGGTGATTACAAAAGGAAATGAATCTGCTATAAGAAGAGCAGATTTTGTAATCTAGAAATGACTAACAGTGAAACGGATAAAAATAAAAGGATAAATGGACATTCGAGAGGCCCACAACTCTCCCAAGGTACTACCCAAATTCTCCACCCATTCCCCTCCATTTTTCATTCTATTTATAATAGTTATCTAACTAATTCTCCAGCTGCCTCTATCATTTGCATGTGCTGCTAACTGCCCCCTTTCGTTTCTCTATTCTACCCTTGTTATTTTATTGCATGAGTTAGGTACCTATCATTATCCGCCGCCTCGAAATTCACGTTGTCCTCAAGGTGAAAATCGGACCAATTCCAAAAATCTCCTACATCCAAACTATACCCTTTTCCACGCCAGTCATGATCCGAGCAGGGAAAGGACATTTCATGCTGAAAAAGTTGGCTGACCTCTTAATTACTAGTATGTTGTCCATGAAAATCCCATAGCCGGTCGCATCCCTTTGCTGGCATTCCAATTTTTGAACCCGTTGTCCCGAAATAAAATTGTAGCTGATTGCAAGCGTGAGTTTCAAGATAATTCCACCCCTTCTTACTTTTCATCTCTAACTCCGCATTAGTCAACCTTTTTTCAGGAGTAGCGCCATTGGATGCCATCCCAATGTATAATTGGCATGTGTTCCAGGTGCATGGAGCAATGACAAATTGGTCGGTATGGATGTCATATGTCCTCGGTAACCTGACTTCCCAATTTGGATCTTCAAAGCACGCAGTCACTTGAACTCTTCGAACAACTTCAACTGAGCATCTTGACATTCTATCGAAGTTGGCTAGTAAAATTGACCCAGTGGACGTTTCTACCATAAATCCATTAAAGAATGGCAGTGCAGTCTCCTCTCTTAAAACCCAATCGAATGGACTATCACCCCCAAACACCGATTTTTTCAAGCGTCGATTCCGATTTTCCCACCTCTCAGCTTCCTTGTACCGCATAGACCCGTCTGTACCCTCCCCAAACTCATTGATCCTTTGGCCATTTCCCTTCGTTATCGTTGTCGGATCAGGTACAATCGATGTTGTAGATTTGGAATTCACTTTGAGAAGTGAGGGATTCTTTTGATGATCGGCAAACTGTGGGCTGAAACCTTCAGATGGGTAGAGCAAATTAAATTTACTTTTATATGGGCCGAAATTCAGCTGGACTTGTTTCACCCGTTGGGCCAATTCTAGAGCCAAGCTCACTTGTTTGTTCATATGAATTCCCATTCTATAGCAAGTACTAAGAACATCAGCTTCATCTACTTGATTCAAAGCACATAGTTCACCAATTGCTTGAGGCCACTGTGGTTTTGGAATAGAAGGTTTTTCATGCAGCTCAATTAGTGCGGTACAGAAGTTATGCCCTACAACCGCAATACTGTCATGCTTGTTTGTATTCTTTTCCCTCCACCGGTGGTACCATCGTTTTCCAGATTGCAGTGAATTGGCGTGACTAGGTGTTGGAGTAATCTGATGGGTTCTATGGGTGTAAATATTTTTTGGGCCGTTTATCCTTACTCCATATAGGCCCATTTCGACTTAGGCTGATGTTGGGCCAATTCCATATCATAGTCTAATTCCAAAAAATGGTCCAAATCTATGGATTCTCCTCCCTCGTCGCTCTCCTGCTTCAGCAATTTCATAGAGGCTTCGTTCCAAACTTGCTCCGATCTCTTCTTTTCCTTCGATTGTAGTAATGGTAAGATTTCAGTTGACCTCCAGTCTCCGATGGTCTTCTTTGGCCGATCCCCGCGCCCTCTATTCACCCCGATTTCATAAGATCGATGTGGATATGCGTGGGTGTTTTCCCGCGAAGTAGAGGCTCGTCCCTTCTCCTTCTTTTTCGACTTCACCACAGATTTCTTCTCCTCCTCCAATGACGACTGTTCTTCCTCTGGACTTCCATTCTCAGTCTCCCAGTTAATCTCATCCCCTTGCTTCCAGGCTGACAATTCACCACCAACAGAGATCTTCAAGTCGAATCGAGCCATCATCAACACCTTCAATTCATCCCATGTACGCACTGGTCGTGATCGATCTTCCCGCTCATACCAATTCCAAGTTTTCCAATCAAAACAAGCTACGGCGGCCTCTATTTTGTCCACCTCCGACAACTGATTTCTAGAGAAAATCTTCTCTGCTTCCGACACCCACCACTTTGTATCTTCTCCGTAGACTATTGATATTTTGAGACGGTCAAGCGGATCTAATCCAGAATCAAGTGCTTGGTCTCCTATCCATATCTCCTCCGATTTCTTGCTGTAATTTTTTTCTATCCTCCCTAGAATCGAGTGCTTTGATACCAATTGATAGAATCCTACAATAATTTCACTTCACCAAGTGCAGTAATTAATGGATTGAAAAGTGAGAACAGAACTCAAACGTGATTCTAATATTCCACTACTGAATGGTGATTACAAAAGGAAATGAATCTGCTATAAGAAGAGCAGATTTTGTAATCTGGAAATGACTAACAGTGAAACGGATAAAAATAAAAGGATAAATGGACATTCGAGAGGCCCACAACTCTCCCAAGGTACTACCCAAATTCTCCACCCATTCCCCTCCATTTTTCATTCTATTTATAATAGTTATCTAACTAATTCTCCAGCTGCCTCTATCGCATGCGCTGCTAACTGCCACCTTTCGTTTCTCTATTCTACCCTTGTTATTTTATTGGGTGAGTTGGGTACCTAGTAGAAAACTGATCATATTGTAAGTCCTCTTCCTCCACCCGACCTACATCCCTATTTATATCCTCCTTTTTGGCGCCCTCCACCCACACAACCAGAGTTTTATCAGTCCCTGAGTCCCCCTCATTTATAGACTTAGAATATCTCTTACAGGTCTATTATTCTTTAAAGATAGTACACCGAGATCTATAAGCTCCAAAATATCTCCTAGTCATATTAGGACAAAGACTCTAACAAGGAAGCAAACTAAATAGACATCTAAACCTCACACCCTCTAGAAGTACCAAAAAACACTTGATGCAACATAGGTGTCGACTCAGGATATATTCCAGAGAACTTCTGAAAATACAGAAATTCTGAAATCAAAAAAATTGCCCTTGTTCCACAAATATGTGAAAAAAATAAATAAATAAGAGGAACACTAACTTATTGGCTTTTAGCCTAATCTAAGACTCAGCTTGAGACAAAACTTGGTTGCAAGACATTGCAGAGCAGCCAGTCTGAGAGCTTAAAAGAATTTTGAGATTCTCCTGTTTATACTTCATTCTTATAACTCTTTCATTGATTGCACATTCTCCACTAGCTGCAGATGAGTTCAAGTTTTACAGTGTTTTAAATTTGAAAAGTCTTTAACGCATCAAATCCAGCCATTGCATAAGATGAAAAGCTTGAAGTAAATGCCTTCTTATCACCATGTGGGGTATGCAAAGAAAGCTTAGGATATTCATCATCTCCATTGTTTGAACCTTTCTGGAATGAAAAAACCAACGGCAGGAGTAAGTACAATTAAGAGATTTGATAATTACCATTTTTTTTTTTTTTTTTTTTTTTTTTTTTTTTTTTTTTTTTTTTTTTTTTTTTTTGGCACAAGGGATAGATTGCCAAAACCGTTCAAAAACTAGTGGATATAAGTTATAAATCTGATCTGCAATTTGTAGAAGTATATAATCTCTTTGGATGTTAATATATGGGCCTTAAAGATTGTTCAGGTGTCAATACAGTCGATTTTCACAGGCCGCTGCAGCACATCAAACTGGCATAGGACAGATTCGGAAAGATTTTCAGATCATTGTAGGCACTGATGTTGATTACCCAGATAGTTGCTCTGAGGTTTTATTACCCAGATAGTTGCTCTGAGGTTTTAGGGCTTCTAGGGATATTTCAGGCAGGGTTCACAAGAGAAATTGATTGGGCAATTAGGAAAAGTAAAGTTCAATTAAATTGTACAATGGCCATTATCAAGTGGTATTTAAAATACTGGAATTGTTACATATATTTATACATTAGGTATAGCAGTATATGTTTCTTTTTGGTTCAGAATTTGCTCCACTTTCAGACTAAGAATTACACTGAATATGAATTGACCAGTAAACTACTCAACAAGAGAGGTGAATTATCATTCATTATATACCATATTGGACATTAACACATCTAAAAGAATAATCAATAAATATTTGAATACAGTCAGGCCCAAAATTAATTTTACATTCACCCTCTCTGCATAATTTTATCAAGATCCGAAGAAGTTAGCAGTGCTAATGCAACTATCAAAAATATTACTTCAGCTTTAAATGCTTGTCAGAGGCTAACTTTTAAATGTTATGCAGCCTGTTTCATTGCACTCAGAAAAATAGGGGGAGATGGTATGAAAAAGAAAAAGAATCTATTATGATACGATTGCACATGAATAGAATTTGATGTTATATCAAAAGCTCTGGGATAAGATTGTTTACATTTCTATTTGGATTTTTTTCCCTCGAGGTGTTTAATTGAAGAAAAGAAAAGCAATGTAATACAGAAAAAACGGTTAAACATTTCCTTGCTCTCTCCAATGATGAAAGGGGCACAAAAAACTAACCAATGCAGCCAGCTCCGTGGCCAAACATTTCCTTGCTCTCTCAACATAGCGGCGGGCTTCATCGTGCTAAGATTCCAAAGAAGAAGAAGAATGAAATTTTATATTAGCACTTTCAATAAAGAAAAAAATAAGTTGATGAGATACCTTTCCACGCCGAACTAATAAAACAGCCCTGAAAAATGTCCCGTTGCTACTCCCATCACCAGTAGCAGCAGTATTTCCCAAAACTCGAAGTTTAGTTTCATCTCCATCATCAAGTCGAGAAACATATTCTGACATCTGATCCCACTCACCCATGTTCCAGGCAGCCCTAGCAGCCTGGGTAAATAACTTCAGGCACTTAGTGAAGGAATGAAATGAAATGAAATTAAACACTTCAATGGTCAACAAACATTATCAGCTCAAGTTGTGGAATGGGCTTTTGGAATCAAGTGTATCGTAAATAAAAGTAAGAATTATAGTTAACTATAATAAAAAAATAAAAAAAATAAAAAAAATAAAGTAGTTGTTTATTGTGTACTGAAGCGTACAATATTTGCTCATATTATTTTCAACCAACGTGCACCCAAATATTTTATGTATTTTGTTTCAGAGTTCTAATCATGCATGAAAGAATTAATCGAATTTAAAGGTAGTTTGGAAAGGAAAGTAACATATTTTTCATAGCTCTTTTAGAGTATCCATTATTTGAAAGCCACAAACCATTGGTGCCATTTCCAGACGAGCAGCTGGTTCAGCAGGTGTCCAATATTCCTTGCACAGATTATTAAGCTCTTCCCACCGAGCAAGAGCTGCGAGGCATCTCATCCGCCCTAACAGAAGCACAAAAATACAAGAAAATAAATTATCATTTCTGAAGACCAAAAGTTAATAATAAAGGGAAATAAAGAACGGATTCATCAAAGACAGGGATCAGCTCAATATATACCATAGATAACGCACCAGCACTTGACAACAAGAAGCTATATAATCCATTCCCAAATTGGTTAAAAAGAAGCAAAGAACTTGCACAATCTATGTTGCTTGGACTCGGAGAGGGTGTCTATTACAGGTAAATACCTAGGAGTCAAATCCTTTTTCCTAAAATCTAGGATAGGCAATGCAGCTAATGAGGATCCAAATTTTAGAGAAAGGTATGACCATACATCTTATCAACTTACAATTACTCTATAAATTTATGTACTTATAATTTCAGATGAATTTTTAGGGATATATATTAACATGTGAAAATATAATTCTTTAAGAAATTAAATTTCAAATTATAATACTTCATTTTTCATATTGAAATACAATTTAGAAATTAGTTTAAATACAATACCCAGTATAAACGATCTTCTTTTCATTTAAAGGGTCCAAGAAAGATCTCATGCCCTTATCCACGTCATGTGTGCCCGAAACATGCACTTCCTCAAAAATGAGAATCCTTTTTGAGGATCTTTTTTACAAGTACGTACCTAGGAGTCAGATCCTTTTTTCCTAAAATCTAGGATAGGGGATGTAGCTAATGAGGGTCCAAAATTTAGAGAGGTATGACCATACGTCTTATCAACTTACAATTGCTTTATAAATTCTATACTTATAATTTCAGATGAATTTTTAGGGACATATATTAACGTGATATTATAATGCTTTAAGAAATTAAATTTCAAATTATAATACTTCATTTTTCATATTGAAATACAGCCCCTGTTTGAGCCACATTTTTACCTTATTAAAATGAAAAATATGACCGTTATCCATCACATCAAGCCACCATTTTTTAATTTCTATCTCAGGTGTGGGGCCATAATGGCTCTATTTCTCATTCTCATTATAATGTGGCTCAAACAGGCTTACAATTTAGAAATCAGTTTAAATACAATACCCAGTATAAAAGATCTTTCGATTTAAGGGATCCAAGAAAGATCCCATGCCCTTATCCACGTCATGTGTGCCCGAAACATGTACTTCCTCAAAAATGAGAATCCTTTTTTGAGGATCCTTTTTACAGGTATACACCTAGGAGTCAGATCCTTTTTTCCTAAAATCTAGGATAGCGTATGCAGCTAATGAGAATCCAAAATTTAGAGAAACATATGAACATCCATCTTATCAACTTGAAATTGCTTTATAAATTTATATAATTATAATTTCAGACGAATTTTTAGGGATATATATTAACATGTGAAATTATAATTCTTTATGAAATTAAATTTCAAATTATAATACTTCATTTTTCATATTGAAATACAATTTAGAAATCAGTTTAAATACAATACCCTTATAAAGGATCTTCTTTTCATTTAAAGGGTCCAAGAAAGATCCCATGCCCTTATCCACATCATGTGTGCCCGAAACATGTACTTTCTCAAAAATGAAGAGTCCAAGCAAACATATAGTACACTGGACTCCGCTATATAGTGGAAAACTAATTACGTATAACCTGTAATGACACACCTACTAAGTCCCCGTGTATGTGTCCGACACGTGGTGTCATATCAACCCCGACAATCCTTCAACGCTCAACAAGTGATGTGCCCTTATCCAACATTATATATAATTTTAAAGTATTGACACTCAAAGTGCATTTAAGGCGCGAAAGGAATTAAATTAATTAGCTTTCTTCAATTTTAGCTTGTGTTAGATTAGATTCATTTATTCAATTGATTTACCACTAAAATTAGATTTGTTGAGTTTCCCATTTAACTTAGGAGTGTTCAAACCCCAATAATAGACAGTCAATAATTTGTTTTACTTACACCTTGATTACTGAATACATTACTACCCTCTCTCTCATTCTCTCCTCAATTCATTGCAATTCCCATAAGTTTCTGATTGTGCGTCTTTTCACAAGCATCTTATGTCAATTTGGTATCAAAAAAAACTTGCTCGAGTTCGTTTCAACAAGGAATAAATAATTCCATGATTTATTCAAGGAACAAGAGAAAGTAAATTAATAAAGATTTATTTAATTATAGTTTCTAGTAGATTATGTTTATTTCATTAATTGGTTTCCTACTTAAGTTATATATTTATTCAATTTCCTACTTAGATTAGGATTGTTTAAATCCCTATAAATAGATGGCTAACACTTGATTTTACTTACACCATGATTATTCAATATCAATTGGTTATATTTATGGCATATTTACGCCATAATTATTCAGTGCAATTCCCACATTTGTTTATCTAATTTATCTTCTCTCTCTCTTCTCTCTTCAATTATCATAAGTTGTTGATTGCATTTTCGTTTACTAGCATTAACGTCAATTTTGGTATCAAAGAAATAAACTCGGCAAAGTCAACCTTCTCAGCTACAGAGAAATGATGAATTATTAAAGTATATGCAAAGCACGAGGAATTAAATTAATCAGGGTTTTTGTAATACTTATTTGTTTTAGATTAGGTTTACTTAGTTGTTTTCCTATCCAAATTAGATTTGTTCAATTTCCTACTTGGATTGGATTATTTAAACCCCTACAAGAGGGTCAACAATTTGTTTTTACTTCCACCATGATTATGGACTACAGTTACCACCTATATCTAATTTCTCCTCTCTCATCTCTTATATTCTCCTCAATTCTCCCGAGTCATTTGTGGATCTTTGTCTACGAGTGTTTGACATCAATTTGGTATCAAAGAAATAACTCACCAGAGTTTGATTTCTTAGCCCGAGAGAAATGATGCAACTATTAAAGTATATTGAAGGAACAAAAGGTTTTAATTTATTACCATGATTATGGACTACAGTTACCACCTATATCTAATTTCTCCTCTCTCATCTCTTATATTCTCCTCAATTCTCCCGAGTCATTTTGTGGATCTTTGTCTACGAGTGTTTGACATCAATTTGGTATCAAAGAAATAACTCACCAGAGTTTGATTTCTTAGCCCGAGAGAAATGATGCAACTATTAAAGTATATTGAAGGAACAAAAGGTTTTAATTTATTAGGGTTTTTTAATTCTTATTTGTGTTAGATTAGATTCATTTCCTTGGTATCCTGCTTAAATTAGATTTCTTTAACTTCCGACTTCGTATAGGATATGTTAAGCCCCTATAAATAAGGCGTCAACATTGTTTTACTTACATCTTGATTATTGAATACAATTACTGCTACTCTCTAATTTCTCATCCCCCTCCCAACTCTTTCCAATTTTTCTCAATTATCATAAATTGTTGATTGTGAATTTTTGTTTACAAGCTCCCTACATCACACCCCTTGCTCCAAGTGTCCAGCATGCGACATGCAGAAATAAAGATATGATATATAAAAATTTAAAAATTGTAAAGAATTTAAATAGGCATGTTTCGTCCTACTTTTCCAAAAAATCATGTGTTGTATCCATTCCGTATCATCATCCATGTTCATGCAACTTAGTGTAAACCTAACTAAATGGAAGTAATTAACTAAAGAAAAACTTCCACCACTGATGAAGTAATTATACAAATAAACACCACAAAACCACTTTAAAATTTTACAAAATTAGACAAGGAAATGTGATACGTAACCAAAGAGAAAGTTGCAAAGATCTTCATGCATTTAAACACGAGCAAAAACTATATCTTGGTTTCCCGTATAAACACAAGTTTTTACAACATCAATCAAATAAATGCTTGATTCAATGAATGCAAAGGAAAAAAGTGTGCAACAAATAAAGTTCTCATCTAATGAAGGAGGAACAGCATCCAAATTGAAGGTGATAATTATATGAAGTAACTGATAAAGTCATCTTTTCCACTCATCTTCAAATTGTTGCAAGGAATAAAAACATCGCGTAAATTTGAACTTCATAAAAAGTAAAACATAACAGCATTCAATTAGTTCTCAAGTGTGAATCGAAACGCAAACCTAGAGTAGCATCTAAAGCAAGATGTGGAGTCGCTGCTTGAGAGGCTTTGGCAGTGTAAGCTTTGAGAGCATCATCCCACCTCTGAAGTTTTTCATACCTTGATCCAGCAGTTAATATGTTAAAAGGGATTTTGACATGTACTTGAATCATGTGCATATCAGAATTTTATTATGAGAACGAAATGGAGGAGATAGATAAGGTACCATGACTCCTTCAGTTGAACTCCCAAATTTTGTTGAGCATAGGTCAATATCCCAACTGCAGCCTAAATACAGAAAAATAACCCAGCTAATGACATGATTTGGTTTGCAAAATACGTGTGAGCATATGAGGCAGACTCTAAAAAAAATGACCTCGTGCTGATGTAATTGATTATTTATATGGATAAGTGCTTCAACAACAGCAACGGGGTTTGCTTCCATCCTATTTGAGCGTGCACCTTCAAATTCCATCTCTTTGTAGTGCAGAGCCTTTGCAAATGCACGACACTGAAAGAAGAGTTAAGGGAATTAAAAATAAAAAAATAAAATTGTGCACGAGGTAGTGGAGATACATAGTTTAGATTTCCCAAAATTGCCTTCAGGAAATGCCAACCTTTTCTGCAAGAGCACCAAGTAGACGGATGTCTATAGGAAGGCGTCTTTCATCATGTTCCATAAACTCAGCCTGGAAAAGTCATTTTGCATACTGATCAGCAGAATCAAAGAGGAAAAGATTTTCACCAAAAGGTTTTGATTTCATTATCTCCAACCATTTCAAGTGTTACTTTCATATAAGCCAATCATAAAGCTAAAAATAACTTTCCCATCAAATGATACACAACTTGATGATGCAATCTTCGTGCCATCTGTACCCGGTGTATTTTTTTCAAGGTCAAAACAATGAAGCTGCATGAATTGAATTTCTTTGGCCCGAATTGTCAAATTTGTCCAAATTCAAATTCATGCCTGGTCTAGTCATCTCAACCCACAAGTTCAAGTGCACCAACCTAGGGAATAAACCTTTTCAATGAAGAACTACATACCCAAGCGCCAATGCCCTAAATGGCATAGGTATCACTTTTCTGAAGGGCCATACCAGAGTGAAAATGTACATAATTCTCTACTTAAGGTAAAAAAAAATGAAAAAGAAACCATACCAAGTTCAGAAGTGTCGCAAGTATTTCTGGAGGTATGTTTGGAGAGGAAAATGCCATTTCCAAACTCCGTACTACCTGTCGCTGACTAGACTCGTGCAGGTGTGACCAGCAGCTAACAAAACCGGCTGCAAATAATTCCCTCCCAACAAACGGCTGCAAAAGCACAGTATTAGAAACCTGATAATAGGGAAACTATGCCTGCCAGTTGGGTTGTGATTGATGGGTTTGGTGGAGAGTACAGGGTGGGATGGAGGAAAGCAAGATAAATGTCAGAATCCCTGCTAGATACCTGCAGTTGTGCAAGTTTGGCACAAGTTCTTAAAGCTGGTGAAGGTGATTCCTTCAGAAGCTCAATGCTAAAATGCCTCATCCACTCTGCCCAATCCTCTTTGGTACTGCGCTGAGAAGCCTCCCCAGCAGTCCGCAATCGAACATCATTAACCTGTATGAATTGCACAGGTTAACAGTCCAGATCACACTTTTATGAAAAATGGAAAAAGAAAAAGAAAAAGAACACATAGAACAAACTTAGAGCAAACCAAATCATATGTCCAACACCTTAGTCAGAGTAACCAAAAATAGAAAAACAAAATGGCCTCATTAACAATATTCAATTCATCTATGGCGGTTAAACTTTTCAATAGTTTTATCCAATATATGCATTAATGAGTAAAAAGAAACGAGTTCAATATCCAAGCAATGAAGTTCAATACTCAAGCAACAAGTTTGTATTCTTAACACAAGTACTATTCAAGAAGACTTTCAACTTCGCTGAGTTATTGGGCTTCTCTTTCTGAGCATATCGTCAGGACGCATCATGACAAATATTCTCATTTTCTTGACTCAACTTAAAACTCAAAGAATCAGGTCATGGGATCAGTAATAGGCACAAGATACTGCACTTTTATCATTTTAGAAGTGTACATAGGAAAGATTAAGCAACAGAGTAATATAATGCAGTTAAAATCATTTAATGTTTAATAATTGACTCAAACACCCCATAATCATCAAATGGAACACTTTCTTCAGCAAGTCAAAATAGGTTATCAAAAATGGCTCATTTACATAACTGTTTACACTACTCAAAGGAAGAAAACAAAGTACCTGATGAGTTTTATGTTGTTTCTGCATGTCAGTACCCCCTTCGCGGTGATCATTCTCTGCATCACTTAAAGGGTCACTAATAACCTCAACAGGAAGCCTCCGACTTAGTCTTTGAGCAGACGTACTCCCCGAGATCAATGGCTTCCGTTTCTGCAAGCGACCTTGAATTTCTTCAAATTCCTTGTGCTGGTAGACAGAAATAAAAGTATTTACATGAAAATTATTTACAAATTAAAGAATTTCAAAAAATAGAAATGAAAGTGAGATGAAACATATCAAGACAAAACAATACTCGTAGATGATGCTTTAGCAAAAGCTTATGGATCGACGGGATGAAAATAGTGAAGTCCTCCCCAAGAGCATGAGCTAAGCAGCATAATGCATCAACAGCGTCCTTTCTAAGCTCACCATTTTTTCTGCAAAACAGATATTTTGTTTAAGTATAAGAAGTTGGGATAACTATAGCTGGTGTTACCCTCTAAAAATTAAAAATTAAAATAAATAAAACACTATAACTTGTAGATTCAGCTAATAGAGTTCTACCAGAAATTTGCAACTACCTTTGGTTTGGTAAGTAGATGTATAACTTTTTGTCTATCTTAAAAAACTCGTACACTTATATCAAATGATTCCCTCTTTTCTATCTACAGATGATCTGTGTGTTTATCTAAGAAGTGAACATTTTAATGCATATAATTGTCGAAAGAATGAAGACCCAACACATCCCCCATCACCCAATACTTGTCAAAAGCTAGGAGAGCCATGAAACAAATTTTTCTCCTTTAGCACTGTACATTTGCCAAGCATCTCTAGAGAAGATTTCGTTTGATATTTATATGGATTGCTGAGTTCCAGCAGCATCCTTGTCCAAACTTCTGCTTATAGCGTCTTGGGGAGTAGGAGGTACTTGGGACAGTAAGAGTTCGTGAAAGTATACCATCTGATGATCACAAATTGACATCAGAGTGCTTTTGCGGATGGGCGCTATTCTTAGCTTCTTTATAGTTGAGACAGATTGCTGTATCAGCCGTCATCCTCTATTATGTACTTCTTTCCTTCTAATAATTAATTCTTGTCCATCAATAGAAAACATAGTTAACCTATGAATGCTAAAAGGAACTTCTTTTATGCACACTTATATAACTGGCTTCAGTCCATTGTCAGAAATGTAAAAGAGCAAAGCAGTATGCTGATAGCAGACTATATTACTGTCAGTCACTCAGCAATGATCCCAAAGAAAATTCATTTAGTGCTGGTCAACTCTTTTAGGTGCAATGTCAAGGCAAGCACATGGTCTATGGTGTCCAAGATAGTGTGTCATCAAAAGGGAAGAGATTGTGTTTCTTTAAAGTGAGTTTTAATATGCATTTGTGTTGATGATCAAGAGAGAAATCTGACCCATCCAATACTAGTTTCAAGTGATGCACCAAAGCTGATATGTGACCTGTAACCTGGTGAATATAAAACCCAAAAAAAAAAAAAAGGTGATGGATAATTTTAAATATATATATTTCCAATGATTTCTAGTCAAATGAAAACTGATAAGAATTTCAATGGTCACCTGCACGCGAGGAATTAATCTTGTCAGGGTTTTAATAGCAGCACGTCGCACATCTACTGAAGCATCCACTTTAAACAATCGAATAAGTGCAGGAAGAAGCAGATGCATATGCTCATCCAATGTACCTGCAGTGTTCAAGCTAGAGATGTCAAGCAATGTGCATAAGATACTAATGAAGGATCCAGAATGACCAAGCGACAGATACTAACCACCAAAAACTTCAAGAGTGTGGAGAATGTCAATGACATAAGTGTAGTCATTAAACCGCTCAGCATCATTGAGGACTTGAATGCAGGATGGAAGGATGATAGGAAGATGAGTTCTAAATTCATCATTGAGTGCCAAGCAAAGTTGCTCAAGCAGATGTAGAATCTAATAACATAAGTCCATATAAGTCGTACTAAAAAATATCAATCGCCTGCAAAATGTAAAAATAAAACATCAATAATTAATATGTTGTGGTACCAAAGAAAAGCTCATTACCGGAGATCCATGGGTAGGTCGGTTAGCAGCAGGGGGACTGAAGGATGACCATAATTCTGCTATCAAAGAGAACAACTCTGGCAGATATTTACGGATATGCTGCACGTGCAAAACAATCATATATAAAGGATCTAAAGACAAATGCCAAACTATATGATACAAAAATCAACCATAAGGATGTAAGCACCTGGCGCACAATAGAAACCAAAGTTCCAAGTTTCCATGTAATATACTCCTTAAGACCATCATCACACGTACGAACAGTATGAAAGAGATCAGGCAAGACCTGACAATGCGAAGAATATAGGGTCAAATTTCATTTAAAGAAAAAAAAAAAAAAGAACATATGGATCTGCATTGAGATTATCACCATGGCAGACATCAATTAGAAGTAAAGCCATTTCTAAAATTTCATAATCAAAACCTACTATAACTAACAATAAACATCAACTATCAGATATGATTAGTATTTCGCCAAAAATTAGCACTTCTTCCACCGATGCTCCGGAGTTTCGGTCTCATTACCGTCCCAGTAGGAGAGAGTTGCTAGACACTTCAAAAGTGTTGCACAAATAAACATAGAAAAAGAATGCATTTGGAGATGATGAAACTACTGAAGATAATGAAACTTGTTTGACTGCATCACAAGATTGGATGACAGTAGCAGAGCTAGGAAGTAGTCAGTGTTGCATAGATGAAACATTCAAGAATTTAAATCTTTAACAAGGGGTGTGAAAGAAGATAGGAAATTTCATTTTGTCCAGCTAATGAGGCCATGCTTGTTCTTGACATAGATGGATACTTGAGGTTACCTGGGGAGCCAAGAGAAATGTCCTCTTGAGTTCAGGGACATACCATGATATACATATATAGTGGACTTATCTTTCTACAGGTTCATAAAATGGCAAGTAATTTAGCCCAATGCATTTAACACAAGAATGTATTTGGTGCATAAACTTCATTTTCATTTAGTCATCCTCTTGTATCTTCTTTTTCCCCCTAGGAACTCAGTCTTATATTAGCCCTTCTTTTCAAGTCACCAATAAAGACTACATAATGTATACCTTTTCATAATACTCAGGTCCCTTTTTTGGTATACTTTTACTTCAGAACTTAGAATACTGAAACTCTATCCTTTGAAAAAATGAATTCAAGTAGAACCATATTTGCATGATAAGCAATTCTGTCACGATAGAAATGGAATAATGTTTTATTGTCATTGCAAGGAAATATATACTGACCTTGGGCAAGTAAGGAACACAGCCAAGACCCATTGACTTATCTCGCAGGAAAAAAATAAAATAATGTTAAAATCCATGCACAATAGCATAAACGATCGTAAAGAACATATGAGAGGAAAACAAACAGGAAGTGATCCATAAGAATTATTGCTAACAAACCAACAAAAATTACCACTATAAGCTTATCATTTCCAGCATTGAACTAACCTTGAAAATGAACATGAGAGATCCAACCACCTTTTGGTGGTAACTAGACAGTGCTGGATCTCTAAGAATCCGCATGAGAGAACTTATAGCAACCTGAACTAAATTAAGGTCAAAAAAACAGGAAGTAGAGTCTTTCATTTCAAATTCAAGTCGTGCTACTTGCTGAATAAGTTAGTGTTCAGATTCAAGTCTCACTGTGGAATAATAATCTTCTGACGTTGCAAAAGAAGGCCAAAGATCCATTGGTGGTTCATCCATTGACATAATATGTTGACCAGGATCACTGGCTGCCCGGCCAACTTCAACATGGGACCCTGGCAAGCTTAGTAGATTGTGCTTTTGCATGTGAGGGTCTAAAGCACCCATTATCCCAAGAACCTAAAAATTACCAAACATAATTTGATAAATGTAATCCACAGGAAAATCCAGGTTATTCAGTTGATTTCAGCTACCTTCAAAGCTTCCCGTCTGGTAGACCACGCTAGCTCACTATTGAGCAGTTTTAAAAGTAACCCGAGTAACTGTGGGTACTCAATATATGGAGTTATAACATACCTGTGAAAACATCCGAGTTTTTTCAATACATTTTTCATATTCAAAGATTTTTTACAATCAGATGATAGTTTGTGAAGACTGCTACTACTGTACTATACGAAGCATCAAGAGAAGAGTGGCTTTAACAAACAAATCAAGGTAGTCATGCCTTTGTCTAATTGAAGAAAATATCAGGGCCAAAAATTTGCACATATCATAAATAACAAGTACCCATCAACCTCCAACACTCAAGGATTTAATGAATAAAATAAAAGAAAATCCATAAGGGAAAAAAAGGATCAAAAACATCAAAAGAAATTCATACCCTGTGCTTTGTACCACTTGACCTAGAGTTGTAATAGCCACTTCACGTTTTGCAGCAGCAGCTCCATCCAGTAACGCTTCAACAATCATTGGCATAAGTTCTGGAATGTACTTCCGCATGGCAAAGCCACCCTGAACTTGGAAATGAAGAGAAGAGTGAAGATCGTACAGCTTAGCTTCCATTCTCTCAAACATGGAAAATAATATATCATAACGAGTGAATTCCACCGAACAACCCATTGGTTAATCCAACAATTTTTTCTACATGCATTGACATTCGCCTGGTTTAAAAGAAGTTGAAGTTCTTAAGATGGAAGATGTGGCCCAACGTTGCACACTCTTGACGGGTTGAAAAGAGAAAGATAGGGCTATTGATCACTTTAAAATTGGAAAACAATACAAAACTAAGTTTTCTGAACACTCGTAGCTGCAGTTTTTACCTAAATGCATTTTGGAAGTCAAACAGCAGCAGCTAGTTTAAGACAGAAGAAACATTTCCAATGCTATCCTCCCCAATATTGCACAAATCTTGTTAAAAATATACACACACACACATATATGTATATATGCAGGTGTGTGTGTGTGAACAATGAAGGACCTAACAGCTGTATCGAGTGGAATGGGCCTCGTATTCCAAAGGGCAATGAAACAGTACTTATATATTAAAAACAACTTTTGTAAATGATGTGGCTAAGGCTCTGATGAAGCATGAGTGATATAATTATAATAAGAAGAAACAGAAAAACCATCTAACGATTGACTTGCACAATATACATATTACACATATCCGAAACAGTTTTAGGAGCCACATTAAACATATATAAAACCAAAACTCATATTAGAAATAAGCTAGGGATCAAAGGTCTGTCTAAAGTAAAGTACCAAGATAAATATTAAGTCGACCTAACATATTGACGAAGCACATTAAACAATAAAGTAACACAGATGAAGTGCAACGGAAATCAAAAGTCTAATGAAGACACCCACCACTCTGGCAAGATCCCCAACAGTTACAAGAACTCCACTTATAATGCCATTATTAGCATTGACCCCAGTTCCTTCAGAGAGTTTTGCAGTAAGAGCCTGAAATGTTGGACAGCTACATGAGTTCAAGTGAGATACAGGACCAAAACATGAGCAAGCAAGTAAATACAGAACCTTGTGTACTGGAGCAATGTATGGGAGTATTAGTCTCTCGCAGTTACGAATTAAGCAACCCAATAATTTGGCACTTTCTTCTCTACATTTGCTATCTGCACTGCTAACCCAAATAGTGATGCCAATAAATATCGTGCTAAAGAAATAGGAAGGAAAATGAGAGAGTAATAACATTATCATAGCAAACGAATAAAAGATGTCTAAAAAGATTCAATAATTAAAATCTTTGTGCACCACCTTTGTTTTAGATAAGTTAGCAACTGAATCAATTGGCGTCGGAGAGCTGGAAGAACATATGCTGGATTTTTTTCAGATAGTCTTCCAGCAACAGAAATCGCTAACTCCCGAACTTCAAAATCCTTAAACAAGCAATAAAAAGTGTGACAAAGTGCACACATTGTAGCAAGAAACAGAAATTGAGATTAGACATTCCTTCTTAAAAACACAATTCGTACACCTAATAAATAAGACATTTTTATTATACTTTACTAAAAGATACTTCTGTGGCTCACTCTCCAGCATGCCTTATAGTAAGATGACATTTAAGTCCTCAAAGCTAATGCATATGTCAATATCATAACATATGCACAAAGTTAGTTTCAGAGATTGCATGAAAAATATGTGACTACGTTTTAAAAAGTCACAAAATGAAGACTACCATGATGGTATGGCTTTCATAAAACCTCAAATTGAAAGCCATGTTCCACTATTTCATTTTTCCAACTGAACTTCACATAAAATGATAAGCTACAGGATAAGTTTCACCTTTTTTGCAGATGTTCCCAATTTTAAGTTTACTTCTTCCAGGTTCACTATCTTATTCTTCAAGATATTTTATCTTTCTTTATCTATGTAGAACAGCTCATAGCCACGAGAGTTAAGCCATCTCCAAAAACATTGGTTTCAGAAAATTGTTATGTTACTACTTTCGGCAAAAATATCGTTCCAGTTCTCAAACTTCCATACTAAAGCACTTGACCAGACCATGCCAGGTAACTGCACGTATTTCATATAGGTGTAATATGACAATTGTTGAACTTGGACAAAGAATACTTAAGAATAACAAACTGTCAACCAACAACTGAGAACCACTTTTGAACCTCCTTTCTTCCACTTCCACAGGTACCCTTGCACGTTATTCACAGTTCCACACTTCAATAACATATATATTATACAGTAAAAAGAAACATGGATGAAGGAGTTTTCCACTTCCCCAGATGGAGGAGTTTTCTACTTCCCCAGATTTCTAATCGAAATACCTCATCATTCAAGGCGGCAAAAATAGCAGTCAAACTATCAGCCTGTGCCAGAAAATCATCAAATCCTCCATTCTCATGCAAAGAGGAAAATATGGATTTTCGAACAGTAACATCAGCATCAGCCACAGCTGCAATAAGAAGTTTTTCCACTATCTGCAATGAAAGAAGCAACTTGACAAATGAGTGCAACATTTGTTAAAGGGACTATCTAATCATTAGCTCCATGTGCAGCAGCCAGTAAAGAGGGGGTGAGGTCCAAAATGAATACAGACATCTTTGCTTAAAATGACAGAGGACTAGATGAGGAAAGCGTAAACACGTTGAAGTGCTGCAACAACTAGGATTATCATGTTAACCACGAGATCCAAAAAGAAAAACTCTTCATGGCTGTGGGGTATAATCTAGTAGAACAAGAGCGAAAGACTATTGAGCAACAACTTTTATCTTGTTTCGGAAAGTTAAAATTATCAGTTATCACACATTCTATGGACCCACAACATATTACCCACTTTTTATCCACATCCTGTGAGACCTGCTTATTATTATTTCATTTTTCTTATATACACTATATATCAGCAAGAGTGAAAAATCTAGAGGGGAATATATTCAGTTTATTTAGAAACAACCTCCTCAACAAGACGGCGACGCCTTCCACCAGCACGACTAGTCCTGCTGGAACTAAACGGTGCAAAAGAGGCACCTGATAATGAGTTTGCCACCAATTTGCAGCAACACAAAGCAGCATCTTTGCGTGTGGCACCGTCCTCATCTTCCAAATATACAACAACAGACTCCCTTGCAAACTCGAGAAGATCATGACCCTAATACAGTAGAAGTTACAATGTTAAGTGACAAGAAAATAAAGCAGCGCAATAGATAATTCAAAATCAACATACCTTAAAATTGAATCGGGCAAGAGTTTGTAAAGCAAGTTGAACTGGAGGAGAACCACCAAGTTCTAATACTTGTAGACTGGCAGTTATGCTATTAGCCCGAGTAATACCAACAGACGACCTTGACTGAACATGATGGTGTCTGGAAAGAACTATTGAAATGCATTCAAGCAACCGTTCTTGAATGGTAGGAAGCAAAGATGGGATGCTGAAGCACCAGAAAAATCTTGAGGTCAGAGATCCTGAATGCAAATGGACAAAAGACGACATATAAGAATGTTCTATCCCAAGCACCTGACACTTATTTGTTCGAGGGCTTCCACCAAGGTGAAGGATAAACCAACAGAAAACATTACATCCAAGAGACTACGAACATAAGGCTCCATAGTGGGTCCCATTGCTTTTGCAATATTTCCAACACAAGCCAAAGCCTCAAGAGACGGTCTTCCTCTACGAGGAGCAATCTACAAATAAAGGAAGCAACTTTTCAGAAGAATAATCCATAATAGCAGATGCAAACAATTCCAGATATGCTATCGTGCAAACATGTCAACCAAAAGAAGAATTACTATTGAGAAACACTAACATTAACAAATGACCTAGCTAGCCTAGCATACCGCATCACGCAAGTGCGAAGTTATTGTCGGCAAATAGTTGATAAGTTCACCATCCAATGCACCAGCCATTTCACCAAGAGCAATGAACCCACTGGCAGATTCTGCAGGTATTTTAAGAACATGAAGTATATGCTTCATGCAAATCTGTGAAAGGAATGGTCATAAGCCAAAAATTGAAGCAATCAACTGAAGAATTTTTATAATATCACAAAATAAATGATTTATTGAGAATACAAAAACTAAATCTCACAAACCGTCAGATAGTTTATCACAAAACGGTCGCGAAGGAAATGGGCAATTCGAGGAAGCAAAGAAGTTATGCTGAGACGAACAAGCCGGTCCCGGTGCTCTAGATATCGCAGAACAATTTCTGCAACTTCTCTGTATCTTGACATCATGAACTCGCCTGTGTTCCTGCCCAGTTAGAAATAAATTGTATTCCAGTTAACAATAAATCACAATGGCAGAAAATTTATGAACATGCTAAACATTGGATGCATCAAAATTGCACAAAGCAATTTGATGTATTGGCTTAGTTCAGCTTTCACTGTTCGAAGAGAGCATACACAGTTACCACCCAAAATGAACTTGTAAGAGAATGCCTCTGTTTGGTATTCATTTTCTTCTCATTAACAGCCTGTTTGGGAGTTTTTTTTTTTTTTACCCAAAAAATTGATTTTTTAACCGTTATTTCACTATTCCAACCATCATATTTGACTTCTTCTCTCACAAGTAGACCCCACTTTTCTCTTAACGGTCAAAAAATCAATTCTCAAAATGACTCCCAAACAGGTTCTAAGTACTTTTCAAAGTCAAACGTTATTTTTAACCACACATTTTGTAATACCCACAAATCCTTCCCACTTATCAGCCAAAGTAAAATTTTAGCAACAAAAAATGAAACCCAAATAGAAGCAAAAAATCAAATAATTTATATTGGCTTTGACACTGTGCCAATTAGGCCTAACCCATGTGACAAAATTAAGTCCATGTAACAAAAGGGTTCAAGTCCTTGAATACTCGACTTCAAGGAATGTGGAAGCTCAAAAGAGGCAAAGGGAAGGATGGAATAAACAGCCATATACAAACTTGAACGCGCAAATGGAAATAATTTAAGAATTTATACAGAAACTTGCTTAAAATTGACAAAATTTTTAAACGAGATCATAACTCGGGGAATCTGATTAACATATTGTCTCGGTGTACCTCAGCATTTCTCCAACTGCCAGTAGAGAACCATGTATGCTATGAACAGGGGCATTTTTGCCCAATCCATCTTGTGTTGCCTCAAACATGCGATAATACCTGAAAACAGCATGTTTAGGAAAACAGTAGTTCAAGACAAGAAGTGTCTGCTAACAATTCATGCATGAAAAAAGAAGCAAAGAACAATTTTGATCAAAGCATGGTTCAATATTTTTCATTATGTAAAAATCCTAGGGCAAATATAGCCAACCAAGCTTCCATACTGAACATCAATCAGATACAGCATCATAAGCATTAGAAAAAAAATGAAATAACAGGAATCTAACATGCTATATCTAATCACAATTAAACTATTGATTTTACATTTTAATTAAAAAATATCTTACCAAAATGCTTTCCTTTTACAATCTTAAGTCTGTAAACACTTCCTTGTTCCAAATTTTGAGACCTTTTATTTTAACAGTTTTTGTGCATGAAATTATAACCCTCCCATCCCAGAACCTTCTAATGCGTGTCTAACAAAGCTTAAATTTTTTAAAAGCTCATCAAATATATTTTTTATCCACATATTTCTTAAGACTCAGAACTTACTACACTCATCATTCACACATTCAGTAAGACCCACAACTATAAGCACTTAAAAGCATGACCCAACAAACACTAAGACCGTGTTTGAAGTAATAGTGATTTTTGAAAGAATGTGTAGTTAAAAAGTATGAAAAAATTTTGAGTTTACATGTAAAATTATTTTATTAAGAAAATGTGTGTTTGAAATGAGTTTTTATAGAACGGGGTCAAACAGGGGCTAAATCTCACTAGTTACATTTTTTCAACACCGAAAGGATTCTAATCGCATTTGATAGCAGAAATATCTAGTGTAACTGGAAAGTAATCTAACACAACTCTTGCTCATGCATCTTGAAGAAGCCATAAATCTATCCAGTTTGTTACACAGCAGCTCCCTAAACTCGGACCAGATAAAATTGCATTATGCAAGAAACTTTCTTAATCTGAATTCTTTGATTAACCATCAAAGTATTTCAAGCTTTTGGGTAATCTAGAAGTCTGCAATTTTACATGACAAAATCTGATCACACTGCAATCACCACCTACACACCAACAGAAGGACAAATGACACCTAGCTCAATTATCTCCTCCAAAATATCATCTCTCCTTGACCGTAATTAGGCCATACAAAGAATACCACCGTAAACAAAATGACGACTTTAGCTTCATAGACAAAAAGAATTTACCAACTAGTTCCTCCGTTACCTTATCCCATAGTCCTAGCACTGGTCCAGACCTTGGATAAGGTAAAGTAACTCACTCCTAAATTTGTACTCCAGAGTCCTGACAAACCATTTTTCTAACAAATATCTCTTTGTTTCAGCACTCTTACATTCCAACACCATGTGTCAATTTCCTCACCCAAGCTCTACCACACTCACGAGCTAATTCCTCCATCATAACCAAACCTAGTGAAACAGCACAAGAACAGGAAGATGGTGAAACGTGTCTAAATCTCAAGGGCACACTCACGTGTCTTTGAGAGGCAGGTACCACACAAGCGTTAAAGTAATCAAGTGTTAACATAAATTGTTTCTTTAAACGTAAAATAGAATAACATCATATTATGAAAGCTAAACTTACCACTGGACACGCCAACGAGTCTCACGCTTTTCAATAACCTGAAGGCAAGCTCGCAATGCCTCCACAGCTCTCTCTCGAACATCCAGCTTTGGATCCCTCAATGCAACCCAGATAGCATCTACAAACTCAGGCACGTGGACATTGAAAACTGTTGAAGCATTCTCAGCCATTTCCTACAACCATCATTAATGATACTAACACATCACTCAAAGCAACAAAATTCTCCATCAGACAATAATCCTTGTTCTAAAGACTGGAAACCATACTACTCCCCATATTCTACCATATTCAAAGCTCATATGGAATGAGTTTTCCCCTTGAGCCATGAATCTATGAATCATAAGGGAAGACATAACTGAGTAAAGACCTAAATGTTAGTGCGAGTAGTAGCATCCTCGAAGCATAAAAGAAGCTGAGACGAGACTTTAGAATTGTGTAAAAATGAGCAAAAACATTTCGCACATAGAAATAGGACACATATTTCCCCCCAAATAATAACATTGTCTAACTAGGCAGATTTCCGTGCCACTTGAGGGCTCCAAAACCTTTCTAACTTGTTTGATTAGTAAAGTAGGAGGAGGAGAAATTGTGAACTTACTTTTAATATCAAAACAGCAGCAAAACGACGATATTCAATTCTATCACCCTGAAGCCATTCCAGTGCAAGTTTCACCTGCAGAGACGAGTCCAGAGATGTCCTTGTTAAATCCAAGACCATCGTGCTAAAAAAACATAGAAAATTTCAACATACCAGGCATTCCACGTCATCGGCAGTCATTGCCCCACCAGCTCTAACCAAGTGACCCAACACCTCACTTGCAAGAACCAAAATTTCAGGTTCACGCTTTGCCTCAAAAGAAGTTCGCATGTAATTTGCAATTTTAGCAACCTTCACAGCATTTTCTCCGACTGTAACATCTATTAGCTCATCAATAGCCCTCAGAGCACCCATATTTTCAGCGACTTCATTGCTCTCTAAGAGACTAGTAATGCGATCATACAGCAGATCCATAAAACGGGAAAATGCTTCACTACTGAGATCGCGAGCATGTTCATCCACATGCCTCCTCAAAGCTAATGCAGCCCCATCCTATGCATAGGATAAGCCCGAACGACACTAGTGAATTACTGGTTAAACAATGATCAGAAATTCAAGATACTCTAAACAAAAAATCTAATACCATGAAATATTGATATCCTATTAGTATTCAATGAGAGATTTAAAGAAAATTGCAGTCTTTCTAGTTATGGCATCTAAGTAGGTTAAATTTCTTGCTAAAGTTGCAAGCTTGGGAACACAGAAATATTCTTATAAGCAAAACCTAAGAATTTGCCTATCTAAAACATATCAAATAATAAATTCAACTAAAACACAGAACTCTGTGCAAATATTAAAAGTAAAAATTGACAACAAACCTTAGGATTGCGGGTGCAGAGGTCAGCAAGAACGCGATTCAACGCATCGAGGTTTCCGGCGCCGGTGGCAGCCGCCAGAGGAATAAACCTAAGTGACTGTGACGTTGTAGACAGTGCCATGATCGAATGCTTATGTATGTGTAAATATACACACAGAGACAGTTGCTCAAAACCCTAGCCAGATTTTGAGCTCATCCAAGAATCTGAATTAATCGAGATTCGGGGACTGGGCTTTCTACTTTAGCAATCGAAATTTAAAATCCTTAAATCTAAATTAATTACAGCCCGTATACAAGTAGATATAGCCCTGATTCCCTTTTTTTTTTTTTTTTTTAAGAATGCATTTTTTTTAAACTCCCTATTTTTAATAAAATAATTATACACGAATTTGAAAAAAAGTTTTATGTTTTAATCACATATTTTTCAAAAATTTACTATTTCATGATTCATTTTATCCAAGAAATGAGAATCAAACAAGGGTATAGATAATTGAGGAATCAAACTGGGAGCCAGACTTTTCCAAGCAGAGGCAATTCTTCTGCTTTTATGTATTTCAATTTTTTGCATCTTATCATAGGGAATATTGCAACCTTGATCCTCAAGCTATTTTTCTTTGAAAAATCATTCCCAACTATTAGTTTTAGAGCACCTTTGGTCCTTCTGTGATTTTTTTCATTCACTTTCCGTTTTTTTTTTTTAAATTTAAAAAGTCTGTTAAAATAGCATAAAACTTTTCCATCATATTTTTAAAAAAAATGCAAAATTACAATAAATGTATTTTTCCCCCTCATTCTAAGGCACGTAAACAAAATATTGTGATAGGATGAAAAATGTTATTAAATGGAAAGTTGAAAATAAGAATTCAACGAAAAAAATTAAAATACACAAATATTATAATAAGTAAAGATTGAAGATCTAAAGTACAATTAAAATATAAGCCCTGTTTGTTTCCCATTAATTTAAGAATAAGAATGAAAAATATAATTGTTGCGGACCCTATACAAAAGATAGAAATTCTAATATGGTGGCTTGATGTGATGAATAACGGTCATATTTTTCATTTTAATAACTAAATAATGAAAAACAAACAGGGGCATAATTTAACAAATAAATATTGTAACGTGAATATAACTAGCCAAGGTATTAACCACTTGGGTCTTCTTCAGCTCCTTCATATACCAAATCATTGGCCTTCTTCGGTCCCAGCGACCACCTTCCCCTCTCAATTTAGCTTCCCCCACCTTTGCCTATCATTCGTACTCATGATATCGTTATACTAGATTTCTTAACTGTCGATATTAGAAGGACAAAATATTTCTACACCTATTTTAATTTAATGAATGAAGAATTTCATGTAATTGTTTTCCTATATTTTAAGAAATCTCATGAATAAGTTCCTACTCCTATGATCATTTTGCAATCTATTCACTAAACTTTGAGATTTTTGTTGGACCAAATCCAATGATGGAAAGCATGTTGAAATGCCAAAATGCGCAAACTAGACCAAATTGTTGTGCAAATTGGTTATGGAATGTCTAACAAAGCACGTTGAAATTGCCAAATTGTTCTTGGAAGTGGTGATAGTGCCCTCGCCGCCAATTTGTGAAAGTGGTTGCTAATGGCGACCAATGGCATGAAGTAGTGGTTGGTTTGTAATGGGGTGGTGGGCTTTTGTACTTTTGTTTTTGGTTATCTGTAGGAGAAGCGAGGGGCAAAAAAAAAAAAAAAAAAGAATCTATTGTGTTGATAAATCAAAAGAAAAAAATTATATTAAAAGTTAAATGGGATTAGGGGCAGTGCCTCCCTATGCCCACTGTTTATTTGTTATATTTTTTTCTATTTCAATTAAAAGTGGGGATTATATGTGTTTGTTCAATATAGATTTGCAAGCTTGAGCAATATAAACTATTGTTTAACAGTGAAATTAACGAAAAACATCACGGCTGGAGAAAATGTAATCTGAAACTAATGCATTAGGGATGATGTTGCCAAGAAAAATAAGTTGGGGACCAGATTACAAAACTTATAAGTTGGGGACCAATGTTAAAATTTCCCTTTTACTCCTGGTTCAAGTAAATTTCATCAATCATCACTCTAGTTTGTACAAAGTTTCAAGTTGGTCATCGAAGACTCAATTAGCTACAAAAGTTTATTACGGTTTCACCATGAGTCACAAAATTAAAATTTGACATATAGCACGGTGTGACATTCGTTGGTGCCAAATCGGATGACAAACCTAATGCACTTGGCTAAACTCAATCAGCTGGAGTAAAAATCACTGTTGTTCAAAAATAAATTCAAATAGCAATTTATCACTAAACTAACCACAACCTTAATCAATTGTATTAGCTGTTAAAAATGTGAAATTAAGATCATGGAAAGAAATACTGTATGTATTCTATCCACTAAATATAAGTGGTACATGTAGGGATCTAGCTTGGAGATTAATGAATGCCACATTAGATTATACGTATTTTTTTTCGACTAAGTGACCAATAGTGAAATTGTTATAAACTATAGTGATTGAATGGATCATAAGATTTTGAAATTTTGTACAAACATACATAATTGACAGTAAGTAAAATTAAATATGCCTTTAGTGTAATGAGTATATGTCAATGGACTATTATCACTTGCATAATCTTAAGTCCTGACGTCTTATTTTACAATTCGAAATTTTTTTTGTAAATTCACATTTTAGTATGTTAATATACACTTTCAACTCCTGGATTCAGATAAGCATTGGTGGGCTTTTTCGTAAATTCACATTTTAAGTCCTGACGTCTTATTAACTCTTGTAACTAAGAATTGGTCTGAGGCTTATCTTATATTAAGCACTAATGACACATCGCCGTGAATTGATGATTATAAAGTTAATTCAAATCTTATCCGCCAATAAATTAGTATTCATGTCACCGTGAATTGATATATCCTTATAATAATATGACATGATTTTAACTTTATTTTTTTAGTAATACTCCATAACATACTAAAGACCACAGTTCTAAACATAACCCATTGAGAAGTTTGTTAGAAGCCTTGAAACCTCGATCTATTACGGGATGTTCAGCTTCATGCGAGAACAAAAGGTCCCCAATTGCACCAATAGCCACCTTGATTCTTGTAGCCCAAGTGAGGGGTTGAGGACCTCCTGTGCAAAAGAAAAATGCAATGCTAAAGTTCACAACACGTTTCTAGATTCACGAACTTGTCAACAATTTGTATATCATCCTATTAATCACTTATAATCCCATGAAATTGAATATATCATTAATGTCGAACGTAAAGTATAGACAAGAACAAAATAGCATATAATAACCATTCAGCTCCCTAAAAGATAAGGTAAGAAGGGTAGGAACACGTTCACGCGTAAACGCATAAAACGGTAAATTTGAACTGAATGGCACAAAGGGGCAAATCATGATAAGAGTCATGCTGGGTGTATAGGCACAACCCTTACAGGGGTCTTACCGACCCCTCACATAGGTGGGGTCGGTTTTTTTTTTGGCTCGAGGCCCGCATCGAGGTGAGAGAAATGAGAGAGGGGGCCTCTACCAGGCCTCTTACAGCATTTTCCTCATGATAAACATGGAATTAATAATAACACGAGGAACGAGCTAAATTATATAGCATCAGTCTACATGGACCAGTCGAACGTAAAGTATAGACAAGAACAAAATAGCATATAATAACCATTCAGCTCCCTAAAAGATAAGGTAAGAAGGGTAGGAACACGTTCACGCGTAAACGCATAAAACGGTAAATTTGAACTGAATGGCACAAAGGGGCAAATCATGATAAGAATCATGCTGGGTGTATAGGCACAACCCTTACAGGGGTCTTACCGACCCCTCACATAGGTGGGGTCGGTTTTTTTTTTTGGCTCGAGGCCCGCATCGAGGTGAGAGAAATGAGAGAGGGGGCCTCTACCAAGCCTCTTACAGCATTTTCCTCATGATAAACATGGAATTAATAATAACACGAGGAACGAGCTAAATTATATAGCATCAGTCTACATGGACCTATATTAGAGAACAAGATTCGCTGTAAACAGATTTTTTTGTATATTATTATCAAAATGCTCGATTTTCAAATGTTGCAACATTTATTATCCCTCTTATTAGTGTTTTACTAAACAGCGCACATGAGACTATTACGAAAAGATTAAATTAAGTTACAAACTCAACGATAGTGGGCAGGGTAATTTAGTTGATAATCGAAAGTAAAAAATAAATGTGATAAGTTGTTATTTTGTTGATTATCAAATAAGTACTAAAGCTTATTTGAGAAAATCATTAAAGGGATTTCATAAAAAGAAAAGGCAATACATACTTCTGAACAGATGATTCTCCAGGCTTTCCTTTGGCATGAACTCATATACCAAAAGCCGGTTGTTGACTTCTGCCTACTAATCATTCGCTGGTAGTTAAAACGGGCCATTCCAAAATTATGATTAATTAATTTAAGCCATACAACAACGGAGAAATACATACCAACCACTCTTTGTAGCCTTGGAAACCCTCAAGCTTCAACTTCGTCATGGCAATCACCGGTCCGAATCCTGATTTTGCTGCAGTAAGAGTGTTCTTATCAATCTGAAAACCTCCTTCCCCAAGAACATATCAGGTCAAAAATTCTGGTCACAATCTTTAACTCGTTAAATGAGAAGGGCTTAACATTAGGGTATAAGAGAATTTCAACTTCAGATCTTGGAGTAGGGAGGCTTTGAAGACTATTTTTGCCACTGTAAGAGGGAACACTTATGCTAGATGGAGCTAATGAACTTCTGGGAAATTTTGAAGCTTCTAACTCACATAAGAGATAATGAGATCATAGCATTAATTCATCACCACTGAATTATTTCATACAATCATTTCATGAATGACTTCTCTCAATCTTAAATTGTAAAACTGAAGCAATTGATTGAGTCTTGATAATAATATAGAAATATATTTACTCCTTAGAACGAACATCATTCGAGGTAATTTAGTCCATTTCCTGTGGAGACCAAAACGCGTCTATTGACCTCGTAAATTGGACCCTTCACGTGGTCAACCGATAGTTACTTCACGTATTCTTCCCTGCGCACAATCAACGCACAGTCAGATGTACACGGTCGGGACCAGCGAGGGTGGAGGCGGTCGCATACACTCCGACAGTTAAGTTAGCCCCAGGTGATCGGAATAGTACCAAGGTTGTGCAAAAGGGTGGGGAGGAGAATATATATTTACTTGTTATGGAGAGCTAAATTGTAAGAGTTTCATTTTCTTTTGCCTCTTGCCAAACATTAGGTATTTATAGGTGAGGAGAACCGTTGGATGTGGGACACGTGTATACATCTAACAGTGTGATGCACCTGCTCATAGGCGTCAATTAGCCGCGTCTATAGAGTAGGCGGGTAATTACTTCTCTCGAGTTGAGTTGACATAAAGTTGATATGTCACATCAACTAGG